AACTATTGCCCCATAGCACTCACATCGTTAGCCATGAAATCCTTTGAAAGGCTGGTCATGGTTCACATCAACACTATCATCCCAGACACCCTGGACCCACTCCAATTCGCAAACCGCCCCAACAGATCCACAGATGACTCAATCTCTATTGCACTCCACACTGCCCTTTCCCACCTGGATAAAAGGAATACCTACGTGAGAATGCTGTTCATTGGCTACAGCTCAGCGTTCAACACCATAGTGCCCTCCAAGCTCATCACTAAACTAAGGACCCTGGGATTGAACACCTCCCTCTGCAACTGGATCTCCTGACGGGCTGCCTCCAGGTGGTGAGGGTAAGAAACAACACATCTGCCACGCTGACCCTCAACACGGGGGCCCATCAGGGGTGCGTGCTTAGTCCCCTCCTGTACTCCCAGTTCACCCTTGACTGGATGGCCGCGCACGACTCCAACACCATCATTACGTTTTCCGATGACACGACGGTGGTAGGCCTGATCACTGACAACGATGAAACAGCTTATAGGGAGGAGGTCAGAGACATAGCAGTGTGGTGCCAGGAAAACAACGTCTCCCTCAGCGTCAGCAAGACAAAGGAGCTGATCATGGAGTACAGGAAACGGAGTGGCCGAGCACGCCCCCATTCACATCGACGGGGCTGTAGTGGAGCGGGTCGAGAGCTTCAAGTTCCTCGGTGTCCACATTACTACGGACCTATCATGGTCCAAACACACGAACACAGTCGTGAAGAGGGCACGACAACGCCTCTTCTCCCTCAGAAGGCTGAAAAGATTTGGCATGGGCCCTAGGATCCTCAAAAAGTTCTACAGCTGCACCACTATGAGCATCTGTGACCAAAAGGCTCATGAACAGCTTCTACCCCCAAGCTATAAGACTGCTAAACAGCTAATCAAAAGGCTACCTGAACTATCTCCTGTTTTTGTTTTTTTGCATTGACTCTCTTGCACTGGCTCTATGCACACTCACTGGACTCTACCCACACACTCATACATACTACACTGACCGGGTTTAGACTGTTTAGTGCCAAAAATAAGGGGTTAAATACAGTTGAAGTCGAAAGTTTACATACACTTAGGTTGGAGTCATTAAAACTCATTTTTCAACCACTCCACACATTTCTTGTTAACAAACTATAGTTTTGGCAAGTCGGTTAAGACATCTACTTTGTGCATGACACAAGTAATTTTTCCAACAATTGTTTACAGACAGATTATTTCACTTATAACTCACTGTATAACAATTCCAGTGGATCAGAAGATCCAGTTGCAGAGGGAGGTGTTCAATCCCAGGGTCCTTAGTTTAGTGATGAGCTTGGAGGGCACTATGGTGTTGAACGCTGAGCTGTAGCCAATGAACAGCATTCTCACGTAGGTATTCCTTTTATCCAGGTGGGAAAGGGCAGTGTGGAGTGCAATAGAGATTGAGTTATCGGTGGATCTGTTGGGGCGGTTTGCGAATTGGAGTGGGTCCAGGGTGTCTGGGATGATAGTGTTGATGTGAACCATGACCAGCCTTTCAAAGGATTTCATGGCTAACGATGTGAGTACTATGGGGCAATAGTTATTTAGACAGCTTACCTTGGCGTTCTTGGTTGACTGTGCCTTTAAACAGCTTGGAAAATTCCAGAAAATAATGTCAATGGCTTTAGAAGCTTCTGATAGGCTAATTGACATAATTTGAGTCAATTGGAGGTGTACCTGTGGATGTATTTCAAGGCCTACCTTCAAACTCAGTGCCTCTTTGCTTGACATCATGGGAAAATCAAAAGAAATCAGCCAAGACCTCAGAAAAATAATTGTAGACCTTCACAAGTCTGGTTCATCCTTGGGAACAATTTCCAAACGCCTGAAGGTACCACGTTCATCTGTACAAACAATAGTATGCAAGTATAAACACCATGGGACCACGCAGCCGTCATACTGCTCAGGAAGGAGACGCGTTCTGTCTCCGAGAGATGAACGTACTTTGGTGCGAAAAATGCAAATAAATCCCAGAACAGCAAAGGACCTTGTGAAGATGTTGGAGGAAACAGGTACAAAAGTATCTATATCCACAGTAAAACAAGTCCTATATCGACATAACCTGAAAGGCCACTCAGCAAGGAAGTAGCCACTGCTCCAAAACCGGCATAAAAAAGCCAGACTACGGTTTGCAACTGCACATGGGGACAAAGATCGTACTTTTTGGAGAAATGTCCTCTGGTCTGATGAAACAAAAATAGAACTGGCCATAATGACCATTGTTATGATTGGAGGAAAAAGGGGGTGCTTGCAAGCTGAAGAACACCATCCCAACCGTGAAACACGGGGGTGGCAGCATCATGCTGTGGGGGTGCTTTGCTGCAGAAGGGACTGGTACACTTCGCAAAATAGATGGCTTCATGAGGAAGGAAAATTATGTGGATGTATTGAAGCAACATCTCAAGACATCAGTCAGGAAGTTAAAGCTTGGTCGCAAATGGGTCTTCCAAATGAACAATGACCCCAAGCATACTTCCAAAGTTGTGGCAAAATGGCTTAAGGACAACAAACTCAAGGTATTGGAGTGGCCATCACAAAGCCCTGACCTCAATCCTATAGAACATTTGTGGGCAGAACTGAAAAAGCGTGTGTGAGCAAAAAGGCCTACAAACCTGACTCAGTTACACCAGCTCTGTTAGGAGGAATGGGCCAAAATTCACCAAACCTATTGTAGGAAGCTTGTGGAAGGCTACCCGAAACGTTTGACCCAAGTTAAACAATTTAAAGGCAATGCTACCAAATACTAATTGAGTGTATGTAAACCTCTGACCCACTGGGAATGTGATAAAATAAATAAAAGCTGAAATAAAAAATTCTCTCTACTATTATTCTGACATTTTACATTACTAAAATAAAGTGGTGATCCTAACTGACCTAAGACAGGGAATTTTTACTTGGATTAAATGTCAGGAATTGTGAAAAACAGAGTTTAAATGTATTTGGCTAAGGTGTATGTAAACTTCTGTAAGCAATTGTTGGAAAAATTACTTGTGTCATGCACAAAGTAGATGGCCTAAACGACTTGCCAAAACTATAGTTTGTTAACAAGAAATGTGTGGAGTGGTTGAAAAATGAGTCTTAATGACTCCAACCTAAGTGTATGTAAACTTCCGACTTCAACTGTATCAGTTAAATTGGTAGAGCATTCTCACTAACGGGTTCAACAAATATAGCCTCTTACAAGGCACGCGTCAAAATATGTCAATGAGCCAGAACCGTAAAAAGCATGCACCCACTAGTTGTCAAAATATTTCCATTCTTTAATACACGTTTGTAACATTTCACAAAAAAATATCTGACTTGTGATACTGCATAGTTTCCTTCAACAAAGACTGATGACGATATTGATGTGATATTGATATGACACTGCAAGTCAACCCGCATTTGAGTGATAAGATACTGTAGGCATGCTGAAAGCACGATACAGAACTTAGTGTAGACCAACTTTTGAGAAGCAAATGTATTTGTACCAATGCTGGCCAGATGTTTAGAGGGGTTTCTTACATACCATACAAGTCATTTTAATGCCTTGCACACAGTTAATTAAGCATGTGCTCTGGTCACATGCAAAGCAGAATATTGTCTATCTACAGTATATCCACACACAGTCACTATTCAAGCCAGCACCAGCACCATATTGTTGTTCAATGTATAGGTCTATTTTTCTAGCTGGTTTGAATTACATTTCTATCATTTTCAAATAATTAGAGAGAAAAAGTTATTTCAAACTGTACTTGCAGGCGCTATATGAAAAATATGTGCTCATATGCCACATGAAGGTAGATACTGCAGAAAGTCCTCCGGTCCTGTGTAGTGCAGTTGGTAGCGCATGGCGCTTGCAACCCCAGGATAGTTGGTTTGATTCCCGGGACCACCCATACGTAAAATATTTATGCACTCATGACTAAGCTGCTTTGGATAAAGTGTTTGCTAAATGGCATATATTATTAAGTACCCCAACCCTGTACCGTACAGCTCCGGGTGAAAGTTTCACCAAGGATCAGCTTCCCTTCCCCCAATCATAATCTTAACCATTATTGGGCAAAATGCTAAGCTGACCCAATATCAGTATCTAGGGGCAACTTCACCCTACACCCTACTGTCTTGCATGGCTGTATAGCGCTTCACAAGTATACAAATGAAACTGAGCCACCTAGTGGTTAATAACAATAAACTATTTTAATGGTTGAACATTTTACATTCACATGGCAAAACAGATAGAAAATGCAAACTCAAATGCTCAATATCATATAAAAATGTACAATATAAATGAATAAGACTTAAAATAACATACTCACACATTGACATACAATATAAACCTAACACATAAAAAGGTTAGAATTGACACTGAATGGCAACATAAATAAAGGAATTACAATATATTCCTCTTCACATTTCTGAGAACGTATGAGACTAATCTTTCAGGGGTCTGTCCATTCATTCTCAGTTAACACATGCAATATTATATTTTATACATAACAATCTGTCTTTTGATATGCATTTTTCTCCTAGTCTGTCAATTCTTTGTGCATGTCAAAAGTCTACTGTTTACTTTAGATCATGAAAAAGTTAACACTGTTGTGCCAATTTGTGCTTGAAATACTGTAAAGAACATAGTCACTTTTAAATGGCACATAGAACACACAACAATAAAACACAGATGTGGCCCATGGCATTAAAAGCCTGTAAGAAAGACTTGGGAACATTACAGATGCACAAGTAAGACAAATAAAAAAAAATCAATTTTCTGACAATAAAATAAACTCCTGTGACAATGGTGTATTATCATTTCAATCACGCTTAACAAAGACATTAATAAACAACCACGGCAAAAGAAGATGCACCCTCATGGTGAGATAGCTATTCAGAACTCTAACTCTGTTTCTTGAACTGCATTGTTGGTTAAGGGCTTGTAAGTAAGCCTTTCACGGTAAGGTCTACACCTGTTGTATTCGGCGCATGTGACAAATAAAATTTGATTTTAATGTCAGTGTTGCCATCAGTTCATATGCTTTCAATAGGCTGATCATTTTACAAATACTTTAGCGATACTGCTCTTGGTCTCCATCTACTCTTTACTATAGCTGCATTATGCATGTACAGGATATAACCCTTGTTAACATAACATAATGTTAAACTTTCCACAGGTAACATTTACCATACATTCATAATATCTACATCTGCACTATGTATAGGGGGGGGGGTTGAACCTCAAACGCAATGTCAAACACAGACGCATCACACAATCCACTCCCCGTCAGTGCTTCTTAAAGGGATGTTGCTGGTAGCTCTGTGAGGTTAATGTGAAGAGCAGAGCATCACCCAACAGAACTCATCTTCATGAAGAAGTTTATGATGAACATGATGGTGTACTGACCAAAATGTCTTCACTGACGTTCCATACGGGTTTTCTTGACAAGGAGAAGTCAAAATTAATGTAAAGAGTTGAGTAAAAGGAGTAACACAGACTAGGGCTGTGTCCCTTTATAGCGCAATTACCCTATGTGCCTTGGTCACAAGTAGTGCAGTATAGAGGGGATTAGGGAGCCATTTGGGACATCATAGGCCTGAGAACTGCCTGTTGCGTTGACATTCTGTTACGTTTGCAGCTCCAGGAGAAAGTTTCTATTCTTTGACCTCTCCTCCTCCTCCACTGCAGTGTGGGAGTTCTGCAGGTCCTGTAGGACACTGAACAACCTTGTGACCCCGTCCAGCTTCTTCTCACCTGGGACATGAGAGGTCAGATAACAGATTACAGACTGGGACCAACCAGCACAGAAATACACAGACACACATCTTTCAAACACACTTTAGACTCAGCGATATGATGTTGCACGAGAAGCACCGCAGATGTTGCAGATGAACACGATGCAAGACGCTGCACTCAGAGTATAGACAGAGTATTTGCACATGTGCACGGGTGTGCTTCAAAAGCTATTACGTGAAATCTGCAGGACTGGAAACAGTGGAGAAGTTTAGCCTCGCACTTCAATGCTCTTAGTTGTTGCGGAAATCGACCCGATATTGCTGTTTACTTTGTGGATTGCTGACTCTACCTTTAAACTATAGGGTGGTAGGTAGCTTAGCGGTTAGAGTGTTGAGTCAGTAACCGAAAGGTCGCTGATTCAAATACGCGCACCGACAAGGTTATAAATCTGGCACTTATAACTTAGTAAGGAATATTAGGGTTAACAGTACAGTATATAAAACATTCTAGTTAACCATGACAATCGTGTGCCCTCTTCTAGGAAGTCATATAAAGGTATAGAAGGCCATATACAGTGGGGGAAAAAAGTATTTAGTCAGCCACCAATTGTGCAAGTTCTCCCACTTAAAAAGATGAGAGAGGCCTGTAATTTTCATCATAGGTACACATCAACTATGACAGACAAAATGAGATTTTTTTTTCTCCAGAAAATCACATTGTAGGATTTTTAATGAATTTATTTGCAAATTATGGTGGAAAATAAGTATTTGGTCAATAACAAAAGTTTCTCAATACTTTGTTATATACCCTTTGTTGGCAATGACACAGGTCAAATGTTTTCTGTAAGTCTTCACAAGGTTTTCACACACTGTTGCTGGTATTTTGGCCCATTCCACCATGCAGATCTCCTCTAGAGCAGTGATGTTTTGGGGCTATCGCTGGGCAACACGGACTTTCAACTCCCTCCAAAGATTTTCTATGGGGTTGAGATCTGGAGACTGGCTAGGCCACTCCAGGACCTTGAAATGCTTCTTACGAAGCCACTCCTTTGTTGCCCGGGCGGTGTGTTTGGGATCATTGTCATGCTGAAAGACCAAGCCACGTTTCATCTTCAATGCCCTTGCTGATGGAAGGAGGTTTTCACTCAAAATCTCACGATACATGGCCCCATTCATTCTCTCCTTTACACGGATCAGTCGTCCTGGTCCCTTTGCAGCCCCAAAGCATGATGTTTCCACCCACATGCTTCACAGTAGGTATGGTGTTCTTTGGATGCAACTCAGCATTCTTTGTCCTCCAAACACAACGTGTTGAGTTTTTACCAAAAAGTTCTATTTTGGTTTCATCTGACCATATGACATTCTCCCAATCCTCTTCTGGATCATCCAAATGCACTCTAGCAAACTTCAGACGGGCCTGGACATGTACTGGCTTAAGCAGGGGGACACGTCTGGCACTGCAGGATTTGAGTCCCTGGCGGCGTAGTGTGTTACTGATGGTAGGCTTTGTTACTTTGGTCCCAGCTCTCTGCAGGTCATTCACTAGGTCCCCCCGTGTGGTTCTGGGATTTTTGCTCACCGTTCTTGTGATCATTTTGACCCCACGGGGTGAGATCTTGCGTGGAGCCCCAGATCGAGGGAGATTATCAGTGGTCTTGTATGTCTTCCATTTCCTAATAATTGCTCCCACAGTTGATTTCTTCAAACCAAGCTGCTTACCTATTGCAGATTCAGTCTTCCCAGCCTGGTGCAGGTCTACAATTTTGTTTCTGGTGTCCTTTGACAGATCTTTGGTCTTGGCCATAGTGGAGTTTGGAGTGTGACTGTTTGAGGTTGTGGACAGGTGTCTTTTATACTGATAACAAGTTCAAACAGGTGCGATTAATACAGGTAACGAGTGGAAGACAGAGGAGCCTCTTAAAGAAGAAGTTACAGGTCTGTGAGAGCCAGAAATCTTGCTTGTTTGTAGGTGACCAAATACTTATTTTCCACCATAATTTGCAAATAAATTCATTAAAAATCCTACAATGTGATTTTCTGGATTTTCTTTCCTCAATTTGCCTGTCATAGTTGACGTGTACGTATGATGAAAATTACAGGCCTCTCTCATCTTTTTAAGTGGGAGAACTTGCACAATTGGTGGCTGACTAAATACTTTTTTTCCCCACTGTATACCCTTCTATGGCTTGTTGTCTTTCTTTACAATATATATTTTTTTATGATATGCATTCAAAAGAATAATAACCATTATCTTGATCATATACTGTATATTGTTACAGTATCTTTATGAAAAGAAAAAAGCTTCAAGAACCCTACCTTCCAAAGTCTCTCTGTCATCCTCTTCTTCTGGCTTGATAATCTCTTGGTATTTTTTCCTGAAAGAAAACAGAAACAATCAAAAAGTCAAATGTGCATCAGCCTACAGTACCAAAACACAGGAACCTGCTTGACCTGTCAATGCATCTGTGAACAGACTTGGGTTCAAATAGTATTTGCTTTCTTTCAAATACTTTGAGCAATTGATTGAGCCCGAGGAGCGCCAGATGGGTGGGGTTTGCACTTTTGGGACTATTCAATTGGATCCATTGCGCCAGACAAGCTTGATCGAGCGCAGCTAAGTATTTGAAAGTAAACAAATACAATTTGAACCCAGGTCTGTCTGTGAGAACAAACAAGGGGGATATAGGTTTCTGCAATGAGTTTTGAACTGTACCTCATAGCCTGTCGGACTCCAATAAGGTGCCGATAGATGAGCTGGGATTCCAGATCCGGGTCGAGGGGATCGTACCACTCCTGTAATGTCACCCCGTGTTTGGTCTTGTCACATCCTGGGTCTGGACAGACAAGAGCAAATATTGACTCAACCCCAACTACCTTATTAACCACCTGTCCAGCATTTACCACATTGTATATCAGGGGGTGGCCAACCCTCCACCTGGAGCGCTACTGGGTGTGCAGGACTTTGTTCCAGCCCTACTCCAACACACCAGATTTAACTGATCATCTGGAGTTTCATTTCCTGAATCAGGTGTGTTAGAGTAGGGCTGGAACAAAAACCTGCAACCAAGTAGCTGCCCAGTAAAGCGGTTGGTCCCTTGTTTTATTGTACTGTATACAGTTGAAGTCTGAAGTTTAAATACACTTAGGTTGGAGTTATTAAAACTCGTTTTTCAACCACTACACAAATGTATTTTTAACAAACAATTGTTTTGGCAAGTCGGTTAGGACATCTACTTTGTGCATGACACAAGTAATTTTTCCAACAATTGTTTACAGACAGATTATTTCACTTATAACTCACTGTATCACAATTCCAGTGGGTCAGAAGTTTACATACACTAAGTTGACTGTGCCTTTAAACAGCTTGGACAATTCCAGAAAATGATGTCATGGCTTTAGAAGCTTCTGATAGGCTAATTGACATCATTTGAGTCAATTGGAGGTGTACCTGTGGATGTATTTCAAGGCCTACCTTCAAACTCAGTGCCTCTTTGCTTGACATCATGGGAAAATCAAAAGAAATCAGCCAAGACCTCAGAAAAAAAATTGTAGACCTCCACAAGTCTGGTTCATCCTTGGGAGCAATTTCCAAACGCCTGAAGGTACCACATTCATCTGTACAAACAATAGTATGCAAGTATAAACACCATGGGACCACGCAGCCATCATACCGCTCAGGAAGGAGACGCGTTCTGTCTCCTAGAGATGAACGTACCTTGGTGCGAAAAGTGCAAATCAATCCCAGAACAACAGCAAATGACCTTGTGAAGATGCTAGAGGAAACAGGTACAAAAGTATCTACAGTGGGGAGAACAAGTATTTGATACACTGCCGATTTTGCAGGTTTTCCTACTTAAAGCATATAGAGGTCTGTAATTTTTATCATAGGGACACTTCAACTGTGAGAGACAGAATCTAAAACAAAAATCCAGAAAATCACATTGTATGATTAAAGTAATTAATGTGCATTTTATTGCATGACATAAGTATTTGATACATCAGAAAAGCAGAACTTAATATTTGGTACAGAAAGCTTTGTTTGCAATTACAGAGATCATACGTTTCCTGAAGGTCTTGACCAGGTTTGCACACACTGCAGCAGCGATTTTGGCCCACTCCTCCATACAGACCTTCTCCAGATCCTTCAGGTTTCGGGGCTGTCGCTTGGCAATACGGACTTTCAGCTCCCTCCAAAGATTTTCTATTGGGTTCAGGTCTGGAGACTGGCTAGGCCACTCCAGGACCTTGAGATGCTTCTTACGGAGCCACTCCTTAGTTGCCCTGGCTGTGTGTTTCGGGTCGTTGTCATGCTGGAAGACCCAGCCACGACCCATCTTCAATGCTCTTACTGAGGGAAGGAGGTTGTTGGCCAAGATCTCGCGATACATGGCCCCATCCATCCTCCCCTCCTCAATACGGTGCAGTCGTCCTGTCCCCTTTGCAGAAAAGCATCCCCAAAGAATGATGTTTCCACCTCCATGCTTCACGGTTGGGATGGTGTTCTTGGGGTTGTACTCATCCTTCTTCTTCCTCCAAACACGGCGAGTGGAGTTTAGACCAAAAAGCTCAATTTTTGTCTCATCAGACCACATGACCTTCTCCCATTCCTCCTCTGGATCATCCAGATGGTCATTGGCAAACTTCAGACGGGCCTGGACATGCGCTGGCTTGAGCAGGGGGACCTTGCGTGCGCTGCAGGATTTTAATCCATGACGGCGTAGTGTGTTACTAATGGTTTTCTTTGAGACTGTGGTCCCAGCTCTCTTCAGGTCATTGACCAGGTCCTGCCGTGTAGTTCTGGGCTGATCCCTCACCTTCCTCATGATCATTGATGCCCCACGAGGTGAGATCTTGCATGGAGCCCCAGACCGAGGGTGATTGACCGTCATCTTGAACTTCTTCCATTTTCTAATAATTGCGCCAACAGTTGTTGCCTTCTCACCAAGCTGCTTGCCTATTGTCCTGTAGCCCATCCCAGCCTTGTGCAGGTCTACAATTTTATCCCTGATGTCCTTACACAGCTCTCTGGTCTTGGCCATTGTGGAGAGGTTGGAGTCTGTTTGATTGAGTGTGTGGACAGGTGTCTTTTATACAGGTAACGAGTTCAAACAGGTGCAGTTAATACAGGTAATGAGTGGAGAACAGGAGGGCTTCTTAAAGAAAAACTAACAGGTCTGTGAGAGCCGGAATTCTTACTGGTTGGTAGGTGATCAAATACTTATGTCATTCAATAAAATGCAAATTAATTACTTAAAAATCATACAATGTGATTTTCTGGATTTTTGTTTTAGATTCCTTCTCTCACAGTTGAAGTGTCCCTATGATAAAAATTACAGACCTCTACATGCTTTGTAAGTAGGAAAACCTGCAAAATAGGCAGTGTATCAAATACTTGTTCTCCCCACTGTATATCCACAGTAAAAAAAGTCCTATATCGACATAACCTGAAAGGCCGCTCAACAAGGAAGAAGCCACTGCTCCAAAACCAGCATAAAAAAGCCAGACTACGGTTTGCAACTGCACATGGGGACAAAGATCGTACTATTTAGAGAAATGTCCTCTGGTCTGATGAAACAAAAATAGAACTGTTTGGCCATAATGACCATCGTTATGTTTGGAGGAAAAAGGGGGCAGCTTGCAAGCCGAAGAACACCATCCCAACCGTGAAGCACGGGGGTGGCAGCATCATGCTGTGGGGGTGCTTTGCTGCAGGAGGGACTGGTGCACTTCACAAAATAGATGGCATCATCAGGAAGGGAAATTATGTGGATATATTGAAGCAACATCTCAAGACATCAGTCAGGAAGTTAAAGCTTGGTCGCAAATGGGTCTTCCAAATGGACAATGACCCCAAGCATACTTCCAAAGTTGTGGCAAAATGGCTTAAGGACAACAAAGTCAAGGTATTGGAGTGGCCATCACAAAGCTCCGACATCAATCCTATAGAAAACCTGTGGGAAGAACTGAAAAAGCGTGTGCGAGCAAGAAGGCCTACAAACCTGACTCAGTTACACCAGCTCTGCCAGGAGGAATGGGCCAAAATTCACCCAACTTATTGTGGGAAGCTTGTGGAAGGCTAGCCGAATCGTTTAACCGAAGTTAAACATTTTAAAGGCAATGTTACCAAATACTACTTGAGTGTATGTAAACTTCTGACACACTGGGAATGTGATGAAAAAAATAAAAGCTGAAATAAATAATTCTCTCTACTATTATTCTGACATTTCACATTCTTAAAATAAAGTGGTGATCCTAACTGACCTAAAACAGGGAATTTTTACTAGGATTAAATGTCAGGAATTGTGAAAAACTGAGTTTAAATGTATTTGGCTAAGGTGTATGTAAACTTCTGACTTCAACTGTGCATACGGTAAGAGATCAATGGAACGCAGACCGTGGGTGATAGCACCGTGGGTGGTGCAGGCGGCAGCCTAGCGGTTAAGAGTGTTGGGCCAGTAACCGAAAGGTTGCTGGTTTGAATCCCTGAGCCAACTAGGTGAAAAATTTGTCGATGTGCCCTTTACCAAAGCACTTAACACCAATTGCTCCTGTAAGTCACTCTGGATAAGAGCATCTGCTAAATGACTAAAATGTCAAATGCAAATGTGACAATGACATGAACATGTATTGGGGTTGACATCCATACAAGCATTAAACTCCTGATTTTTTCCCCAAACAGAGTGAAAGACACATATAAATCGTAGCCTATATTTAGGCTTATTTTGATGGGCGGCAAATGAGGAGATTCTGGATCTATACCCCACTCTTACCTGATCTATTGTAGCATTGTATTGCATTGCATTGCGGGCACGTAAACAACTGCAGTACCTGCTTTGTCCTTCTGGTGGCAGCAGCTCCATCGATCTCCTTTATAAATCCCTGGGTGGTAGGAGCTCATGGTGTCTGTGTTGTGGCTGCAGGCTTTCCTCAGGGCCGAGAGCCACTGATTCAGCTCATTCACACTCTACGGGGGAAGAGAGAGGGGGTAGAGACCCAAGTTCAAATGGCCTAATCACCCAAGTGGGTGCTACACATTGGTGATGGTGGTGGATGAGGTGAGCTTCCCGCTAACTATGTAAAGTGCTTTGGGTATCTAGAAAAAGCGCCAAATCCCAAAAATTATTATACCAATTAATTATTATTAATCCCACAATTGAAATCTGGGCCCGTATTCATAGGATCATTTCTGCCTTTTAGGTCATAATGAATAAGACTACATGGACAAGTCGGACCTGATCCTAAAAACTTTATGAATACAGGCACTGTACTACCACTGACCTGCAGCAGTGCTGTATGTGGTATGTGTTGTGTATTGTGTGATAGTCACGTGTTCATCTTGCGAGTGTTACGTTATGTATTCTGTATTTTTTATTTTTTTATTTCACCTTTATTTAACCAGGTAAGCCAGTTGAGAACAAGTTCTCATTTACAACTGCGACCTGGCCAAGATAAAGCAAAGCAGTGCGATAAAAACAACACCACAGAAATACATATGGGGTAAACAAAACATAGTCAAAAATACAACAGAAAATATATATACAGTGTGTGCGAATGTAGTAAATTATGAAGGTAAGGCAATAAATAGGCCATAGTGCAAAATAGTTACAATTCCGTATTAACACTGGAATGATAGATGTGCAAAAGATGATGTGCAAATAGTGATACTGTGGTGCAAATTAGCAAAATAAATAACAATATGGGGATGAGGTAGTTGGGTGGGCTAATTTCAGAATGGCTGTGTACAGGTGCAGTGATCGGTAAGCTGCTCTGACAACTGATGCTTAAAGTGAGTGAGGGAGATAAGAGTCTCCAGCTTCAGAGATTTTTGCAGTTCGTTCCAGTCATTGGCAGCAGAGAACTGGAAGGAATGGCGACCAAAGGAGGTGTTGGCTTTGGGGATGACCAGTGAGATATACCTGCTGGAGCGCAGACTACGGGTGGGTGTTGCTATGGTGACCAGTGAGCTAAGATAAGGCGGGGATTTGCCTAGCAGTGATTTATAGATGACCTGGAGCCAGTGGGTTTGGCGACGAATATGTAGTGAGGGCCAGCCAACAAGAGCGTACAGGTCACAATGGTGGGTAATATATGGGGCTTTGGTGACAAAACAGATGGCACTGTGATAGACTACATCCAATTAGAGTAGAGTGTTGGAGGCTATTTTGTAAATGACATCGCCGAAGTCAAGGATCGGTAGGATAGTCCGTTTTACGAGGGCATGTTTGGCAGCATGAGTGAAGGAGGCTTTGTTGCAAAATAGGAAGCCGATTCTAGATCTAACTTTTGATTGGAGATGCTTAATGTGAGTCTGGAAGGAGAGTTTACAGTCTAACCAGACACTTAGGTATTTGTAGTTGTCCACATACTCTAGGTCAGACCCGCCGAGAGTAGTGATTCTAGTTGGGTGGGCGGGTGCAAGCAGCGTTTGGTTGAAGAGCATACATTTAGTTTTACTAGTGTTTAAGAGCAGTTGGAGGCTACGTAAGGAGTGTTGTATGGTGTTGAAGCTCGTTTGGAGGTTTGTTAACACAGTGTCCAATGAAGGGCCAGATGTATACAAAATGGTGTCGTCCGCATAGAGGTGGATCCGAGCGTGACCAGCAGCAAGAGCGATATCATTGATATACACATAGAATAGAGTCGGCCCAAGAATTGAACCCTGTGGCACCCCCATAGAGACTGCCAGAGGTCCAGACAACAGGCCCTCCGATTTGACACATTGAACTATCTGAGAAGTAGTTGGTGAACCAGGCGAGGCAGTCATTTGAGAAACCAAGGCTATTTAGTCTGCCAATAAGAATGCGGTGGTTGACAGAGTCGAAAGCCTTGGCCAGGTCGATGAAGACGGCTGCGCAGTACTGTCTTTTATCGATCGCGGTTATAATATCCTTTAGGATCTTGAGCGTGGCTGAGGTGGACCCATGACCAGCTCGGAAACCGGATTGCATAGCGGAGAAGGTACGGTGGGATTCGAAATGGTCGGTGATCTGTTTGTTAACTTGGCTTTCAAATACTTTCGAAAGGCAGGGCAGGATGGATATAGGTCTGTAATAGTTTGGATCTATTGATGTTTTTTAACGCTTGTGTGACACCAAAATAAAATTCTGATTCAGAAATACAGTAGGCCTGCATGGCTGTCTAGGGTCATTTACACATTCTGGGGTAGTCCCAACCTGCACCGCCAACATTCCGTGCCTGATAGGGTGGCATTTCAGATGCACACTATCTATTCCCTATATAGTGCACTACTTTTGACCAGAGCCCTATGCTGGCCCTGGTCAAATGTAGTGCACTATATAGGAAATAGGGTGTTATCTGCTTTGGGGGTCTTGTGAAGAAGCTGACCTTACAGTCCAGGTACAGTGTCTCCACCTGGCCATTGTCTCGGCTGGAGATGATCTGCATGACGTTGGCACTGCCAAAGCTCTTCTCCTCTACCTTCTCCACCGCTCGGATCCTGGGCAGGGAGATGAAGAAGCTCTTCTGTGATAGCAGGGAAAACAATTTAATTAAATATAACTTTATCTGTCACCTTACCTTAGAATTACTACAGCCCGAGTTCCAGTCTGTTTGTGCTATCATGCCAACCCCTCGTCACTCATGTTCATGCCAACCATGACAAATAAATAGTTTGGCTTGACAAAGACAGCAATGGAGTTAGCAAGAGCACAAACAGGAAATGGGAAAAGGCTAGAATGACTATACTACAGTGGTGTTTTAGACACATACAATACAAAGGCACAGAAATAATAGACAATAGGACATGAAAACAGTAATAAAATGAATTCCTCCGTGATAGTGGGAAGACAAGAGGGGATGTGGGAGAGATTGTGTTTCATGTAGCGTTTTTCACTCAAGAGCTTTGTAGTAGCTGCCATTGGATGCCTGGAAACAAATACCTGCGTAGTGTTCATTATTAACCAAAAGGAAGATAACGGACTGAAACAGAACTTATCCAATAAAAATAAACTTCACAAAAATAATAAAAGGGCTACAGTATCAATAAATGTCAATGATTGACTCTAACTACAAAAGGTGATCTTGTCAAGCTAATAAGGCACCCACCTTGGAGTGCTGGGTCCGGGCGTAGGACAGGGTGTCTTTGCTGAGGGTGACATAGTACTTCTTAAAAGGCGACGTCATCAGTATACTCTTGTCCTTGGTCCTGTGTAGGAGAATGAAGCCCTCCTTCTCCATGGAGCCACACTGGAGACTCATCCTCTGCTGCAGGCCCAGGTCTGGAATACACAGTAGTGTCAGTGTCAAGTCATAGGGAATCACTCACAACTAGCTAGCATGGCTAACATCTTAGCATCCCTAAACATAACAGTAGCGTTTGACTTAACCTCTACTATAGGTCCAGGTCTGGAACACACAGCAGAGTCAAGTCAGCCCATTTGGAATCACAGCTAGCATATATGGCTAACTACTTTAGCTTCCCTAAACACACAGCAGTGTCAGTCCATAGGAAACCACACACAGCTAGCATGGCTAATTTCTTAGCAACCCTAAAGGTAACATATTGTTTGATTTGATCTCTACTATCAACATAGATAAGCTAAAATAGTTGAATTATACTGAACAAAAATATAAATGCAACACGTAAAGTGTTGGTCCCATGTTTCATGAGCTGAAATAAAAGATCCCAGACATCTTCCATACGCACAAAAAGCTTATTTATCTTACATTTTTTGCACACATTTGTTTACATCCTTGTTAGTGAGCATTTCTCCTTTGCCAAGATAATCCATCCACCAGACAGGTGTGGTATATCAACAAGCTGATTAAACAGCATGATCATTACACAGGTGCACCTTGTGCTGGGGACAACAAAAGGCCACTCTAAAATGTGCAGTTTTGTCACACAACACAATGCCACAGATGGCTCAAGTTTTGAGGGACCGTGCAATTGGCATGCAGACTGCAGGAATGTTCACCAGAGCTGTTGCCAGATAATTGAATGTTAATTTCTCATTAGGCCCTACCATAAGCTGACTCCAACATCGTTTGGCAGTACGTCCAACCAGCCTCAAAACCACAGACCACGCGTAATCACGCCAGCCCAGGACCTCCACATCCGGCTTATTCACCTGCGGGATCGTCTGAGACCAGCCACCCGGACAGCTGATGAAACTGAGGAGTATTTCTGTCTGTAATAAAGCCCTTTTGTGGGGAAAAACTCATTCTAATTGGCTGGGCCTATGCCCAGGCATGTGAAATCCATAGATTAGGGCCTAATGAATTTATTTCAACTGACTGATTTCCTTATATGAACTGTGACTCAGTAAAATTGCTGAAATTGTTGCATGTTGCGTTTATATTTTTGTTCAGTATATTGTATTAGTCAAGTCAGTGATTTCAGTTAGTGGCATGGCAAACACTTCAAAGCAATCCTGAAGTGAAAGTTGTTCACATTAAATGACAGTCAGATACATTTTCTTTCTAACCACCAGCTAACCATATAGAATTAGCTAATAACATTATAAGAGCATGGGAGATATCTTGTTGAGTTTACCCTCTGATGACTACATATATGCTAAAGATAGCATTTGGCTAACTTTAATTTTGCTAGGGAATTTGCTTACAGCTAACCACATATTATAAGAGCATGGAAGATATGTTGTAGTGGTTACCCTGTAAAGTATTGGAGATATATTGTAGAGTTTTCCCTTTGAGGACTACAAATATGCTAAGGATATACAGTACCAGTCAAAAGTTTGGACACACCTACTCATTCAAGGGTAAAAGTAGTCCAGTGTAGCTCAGTTGGTAGAGCATGGCGCTTGCAACACCAGGGTTGTGGGTTCGATTCCCACGGGGGGCCAGTATGAAAATATATGCACTCACTTTTTTTTTCTTTTTTTTTACTATTTTCTACATTGTAGAATAATAGTGAATACATCAAAACTATGAAATAACACATATGGAATCATGTAGAAACCAAAAAAAGTGTTAAACAAATCAAAATATATTTTATATTTGAGATTCTTCAAATAGCCACCCTTTGCCTTGATGACAGCTTTGCACACTCTTGGCATTCTCTCAACCAGCTTCACCTGGAATGCTTTTCCAACAGTCTTGAAGGAGTTCCCACATATACTGAGCACTTGTTGGCTGCTTTTCCTTCACTCTGCCGTCCAACTCATCCCAAACCATCTCAATTGGGTTGAGGTCGGGGGATTGTGGAGGCCAGGTCATCTGATGCAGCACTCCATCACTCTACTTCTTGGTAAAATAGCCCTTACACAGCCTGGAGGTGTGTTGGGTCATTGTCCTATTGAAAAACAAATGATAGTCCCACTAAGCCTTAACAAGATGGGATGGCGTATCGCTGCAGAATGCTGTGGTAGCCATGCTGGTTAAGTGTGCCTTGAATTCTAAATCAATCACAGACAGTGTCACCAGCAAAGCACCCCCACACCATAACACCTCCTCCTCCATGCTTTACGGTGGGAACTACACATGCAGAGATCATCCGTTCACCCACACCGCGTCTCACAAAGACACAGCGGTTGGAACCAAAAATTTCAAATTTGGACTCCAGACCAAAGGACACATTTCCACCGGTCTAATGTCCATTGCTCGTGTTTCTTGGCTCAAGCAAGTCTCTTCTTATTATTGGTGTCCTTTAGTAGTGGTTTACTTGCAGCAATTCGACCATGAAGGCCTGATTCACACAGTCCCCTCTGAACAGTTGATGTTGAGATGTGTCTGTTACTTGAACTCTATGAAGCATTTATTTGGGCTTCAATTTCTGAGGCTGGTAACTCTAATGAACTTATCCTCTGCAGCAGAGGTAACTCTGGGTCTTCCATTCCTGTGGCGGTCCTCATGAGAGCCAGTGTCATCATAGCGCTTGATGGTTTTTGCGACTGCACTTGAAGAAACATTCAAAGTTCTTGAAATGTCAGTATTGACTGACCTTCATGTCTTAAAGTAATGATGGACTGTCGTTTCTCTTTGCTTATTTGAGCTGTTATTGCCATAACATGGACTTGGTCTTTTACCAAATAGGGCTATCTATACTAACCCTACCTTGTCACAACACAACTGATTGGCTCAAACGCATTAAGAAGGAAATAAATTCCACAAATGAACTTTTGTTAATTGAAATGCATTCCAGGTGACTACCTCATAAAGCTGGTTGAGAGAATGCCAAGAGTGTGCAAAGCTGTAATCAAGGCAAAGGGTGGCTATTTGAAGAATCTCAAATATAAAATATATTTTCAATTGTTTAACACTTTTTTGGTTACTACATGATACCATGTGTGTTATTTCATAGTTTTGATGTCTTCACTAATATTCTACAATGTAAAAAATTGTAAAAATAAAAAACCCTTGAATGAGTAGGTGTGTCCAAACTTTTGACTGGTAGTGTAGCTATTGGCTAACTCCAATTCTGCTAGGAAACATTCTATGTTATCAATAGCAGCGAAGGCTGAATTACCATTTTAATTGCATACACTATATATACAAAAGTATGTGGACATCCCTTCAAATTAGTGGATTCATCCATTTCAGCCATACCCGTTGCTGACAGGTGTATAAAATCAAGCACACAGCCATGCAATCTCCATAGACAAACATTGGCAGTAGAACGGCCTTACTGAAGAGCTCAGTGACTTTCAACGTGGCATCTAGGCACCTTTCCAACAAGTCAGTTCGTCAAATTTCTGCCTTGCTAGAGCTGCCCCGGTCAACTGTAAGTGCTGTTATTGTGAAGTGGAAACATCTAGGAGCAACAACGGCTCATCCGCAAAGTGGTATGCCACACAAGCTCACAGAACGGGACCGCAGAGGGCTGAAGCGCGTACAAATCGTCTGTCCTCGGTTGCAACACTCACTACCGAGTTCCAAACTGCCTCTGGAAGCAACGTTAGCACATGAACTGTTCGTCAGAAGCTTCATGAAATGGGTTTCCATGGCCGAGCAGCCGCACACAAGCCTAAGATCACTATGCGCAATGCCAAGCATCGGCTGGAGTGGTGTAAAGCTCGCCGCCATTGGACTCTGGAGCAGTGGAAACGCGTTCTCTGGAGTGAAGAATCATGCTTCACCATCTGGCAGTCCGATAGATTAATCTGGGTTTGGCGGATGCCAGGTGAACGCTACCTGCCCGAATGCATAGTGCCAACTGTAAAGTTTGGTGGTGGAGGAATAATGGTCTGGGGCTGTTTTTCATGGTTCGGGCTAGGGCCCTTAGTTTCAGTTAAGGGAAATCTTAACGCTACAGCATACAATGACATTTTAGATGATTCTGTGCTTCCAACTTTGTGGCAACAGTTTGGGGAAGGCCCTTTCCTGTTTCAGCATGACAATGCCCCCATGCACAAAGCGAGGTCCATACAGAAATGGTTTGTCGAGATCGGTGTGGAAGAACTTGACAGGTCTGCACAGAGCCCTGACCTCAACCCCATCGAACACCTTTGGGATGAATTGGAACGCCGACTGCGAGCAAGGCCTAATCGCCCAACATCAGTGCCTGACCTCACTAATGCTCGTGGCTGAATGGAAGCACGTCCCCGCAGCAATGTTCCATCTAGTGGAAAGCCTTCCCAGAAGAGTGGAGGCTGTTATCAAATCACATTTTATTGGTCACATATACATATTTAGCAGATGTTATTGCGGGTGTAGCGAAATGCTTGTTATAACAGCAAGGGGGGACCAACTCCATATTAATGCCCATGACTTTTGGTCATGTAGTGTATGTTGTAGTATTTACCTTCAGAGTTGTCACAGCTGACCAGTCTACTGATGAAGTCTTTGAGCTGGGTGATGCCCAGCTGGATGGCTGGCTGCAGTGGCACCATCCAGGGCTCTTTGGAGCAGCAGGTCAGAGTGTCCAGGTTACCAATGGTCTGAATGGCCTGGAGGGGGATGGCGGATGGGAGAAGGAGAGTTGTACCACTAAAAGTATATTTATAACACAGATGGCAACTGGGAACTAAATCCACAATTTTGTGCCTACCGTAGCCTGTAGCAGTGTGCGGCCTCACCATTTTGTGCCTAGCTTAGCCAGTAGCAGCAGTGTGCGGCACCACCATTTTGTTCCTACTTTAGCCAGTAGCAGCAGTGTGCGGCACCACCATTTTGTGCCTACCTTAGCCAGTAGCAGCAGTGTGCGACTGGTGCGGGCGTCCGCGTGTTTCTCCCGGAGGTGGAAAAGCTTGGGGGACATGATAGCCGGAGAGATGAAGCGCAGACACAGGAAACTGGTCACGGCTATAAACTTCACCTTCTGCAAACACAGGCCACACAACAGTGATTCCACTGAGAGTGGGGGAGTTATCATTAACAGCAACCTGATCAACTTAAAGTTAACTTTTTAAGCTTAATTTTGATTTACTTTGTTGTCCATTGGACATTGCTAAATAACCAGCTTACTTCAAAACAGTCTGAATGAAACAACAACATCCTAGGTATCGAAAATAAACCAACACTTTAAAAATTGAGTAATCCCTTTAAGGATGGGATTAGGGCTGTGGCAATCAACCGGTGATTGTCATGCAAATAACTGCCGGTTTACTGTAATTTACAGGTAATTAACATAAACACATTTAGCATCTCCTGGCTTCCACGCATTTCAGCAGAGTAGGCTACCCTGTAATTTGTCATATTAAAAAAGATTCTGATAATGTCTGCAGTCATATAAAGTGTAGTAGAACTACATGAAATGTGTTTATAAAAAGGCCACATTTTCCCCATGCAAAGAAAGAACATATCTGATATAGCCTAGGACTAGTCTACGCGATACGCGCTCAGCCATGCATTGAACAGTATTTTTTGCAAACAGTGATTGAGTTATCTACTGAACTAAAATATAGTTACAGTTTATAAGGAAATCAGTCAATTGAAATAAAAAAATTAGGCTCTAATCTATAGATTTCACATGACTGGGCAGGCGGCGCAGCCATGGGTTGGCCTGGGAGGGCATAGGCCCACCCACTGGGGAGCCAGGCCCATCCAAACATAATGAGTTTTTCCCCATAAAAGGGCTTCATTACAGACAGAAACACTCCTCAGTTTCATCAGCTGTCCGGGTGGCTGGTCAATCCCTCGGGTGAAGAAGCTGGATGTGCAGGTCCTGGGCTGGCGTGGTTACACGTGGTCTGCGGTTGTGAAGCCGGTTGGACGTACTGGCAAATTCTCGAAAACGACGTTGGAAAAATTAACATTCAATTCTTGCAGTCAGCATGCCAATTGCATGCTCCCTCAAACACCTGTGGCACCTGTTCGCTGCTCTGGCACCCCAATGGTGGAACAAGCTCCCTCACGAGGCCAGGACAGCGGAGTCACTCACCACCTTCCGGAGACATTTGAAACCCCACCTCTTTAAGGAACACCTGGGATAGGATAAAGTAATCCTTCTACACCCCCCCCCCCCCCCCCCCCCCCCCCCAAAAAAATAAAATAAAAAAAAGTATAATTGTAAAGTGGTTATCCCACTGGCTATAGGGTGAATGCACCAATTTGTAGTCGCTCTGGATAAGAGCGTCTGCTAAATGACGTAAATGTGCCCTTGAGCAAGGCACTTAACCCTAATTGCTCCTGTAAGTCGCTCTGGATAAGAGCGTCTGCTAAATGACTAAAATGTAAAATGTAATGTAAATGTGTTGTGTGATAAAACTACACATTTTAGAGTGGCCATTTATTGTCCCCAGCACAAGGTGCACCTGTGTAATGATCATGCTGTTTAATCAGCTTCTTGATATGCCACACCTATCAGGTGGATGGATTATCTTGGCAAAGGAGAAATGCTCATTAACAGGGATGTAAACAAATTTGCGTACAAAATTTTAAATAAATCAACTGGAACATTTCTGCAATCTTTTATTTCAGCTCATGAAACATGGGACCAACACTTCACATGTTGCGTTTATATTTTTGTTCAGTATATTATTAGCCTAAATTATGACTATCCAATCTACTCATCACATTAAGAATAGTAGGCTATCTTACATAAGTCTGCAAATGCGATGATGCATTGAATGCTTTATTATACAGTGAGGGAAAAAAGTATTTGATCCCCTGCTGATTTTGTACGTTTGCCCACTGACAAAGAAATGATCAGTCTATAATTTTCAATGCCCTGGCTGAGGGAAGGAGGTTCTCACCCAAGATTTGACGGTACATGCCCCCGTCCATCGTCCCTTTGATGCGGTGAAGTTGTGCTGACCCCTTAGCAGAAAAACACCCCCAAAGCATAATGTTTCCACCTCCATGTTTGACGGTGGGGATGGTGTTCTTGGGGTCATAAGCAGCATTCCTCCTCCTCCAAACACAGCGAGTTGATGCCAAAGAGCTCGATTTTGGTCTCATCTGACCACAACACTTTCATCCAGTTCTCCTCTGAATCACTCAGATGTTCATTGGCAAACTTCAGACGGGCCTGTATATGTGCTTTCTTGAGCAGGGGGACCTTGCGGGCGCTGCAGGATTTCAGTTCTTCACGGCGTAGTGTGTTACCAATTGTTTTCTTGGTGACTATGGTCCCAGCTGCCTTGAGATCATTGACAAGATCCTCCCGTGTAGTTATGGGCTGATTCCTCACCTTTCTCATGATCATTGCAACTCCACGAGGTGAGATCTTGCATGGAGCCCCAGGCCGAGGGAGATTGACAGTTCTTTAGTGTTTCTTCCATTTGCAAATAATCGCACCAACTGTTGTCACTTTCTCACCAAGCTGCTTGGTGATGGTCTTGTAGCCCATTCCAGCCTTGTGTCGGTCTATAATCTTGTCCTTGACATCCTTGGAGAGCACTTTGGTCTTGGCCATGGTGGAGAGTTTGGAATCTGATTGATTGATTGCTTCTGTGGACAGGTGTATTTTATACAGATAACAAACTGAGATTAGGAGCACTCCCTTTAAGAGTGTGCTCCTAATCTCAGCTCGTTACCTGTATAAAAAGACACCTGGGAGCCAGAAATCTTTCTGATTGAGAGGGGGTCAAATACTTATTTCCCTCATTAAAATGCTAATCAATTTATAACATTTTTGACATGCGTTTTTCTGGATTTTTTTTTGTTATTCTGTCTCTCACTGTTCAAATAAACCTACCATTTAAATTATAGACTGATCATTTCTTTGTCAGTGGGCAAACGTAAAAAAATCAGCAGGGGATCAAATACTTTTTTCCCTCACTGTAAAGGTGCTTTTTTTATGGTGAAAATTAGCTTCCCCAAACTTGAAACTCAAGCTACGCCTATGTATCCCAGGTAGGCTACACTGTTGTAAAGTGGATTAATGTGCTTAATTTTAAGAATTGAGCAATAAATATAGCAGCCCGACCAAGCTGGGATCCTCTTTTAAATGGTTGCCAGTCAAAAGTCACATGCGATTGTGCAATGACTGGGATTATAGGAACACGTTTCACTAGGCTCTGTAGGCTACGTGCTCTCCAACCGTGTTCCAGGAGTCCTAGGCCTATAGGCTATGTTTGGAGTTATTTGGCCACTTTAGTTGTGATACAAACCTTATCAAAACATATACAGTGGGGGAAAAAAGTATTTAGTCAGCCACCAATTGTGCAAGTTCTCCCACTTAAATAGATGAGAGAGGCCTGTAATTTTCATCATAGGTACACGTCAACTATGACAGACAAAATGAGAATTTTTTTTTCAGAAAATCACATTGTAGGATTTTTAATGAATTTATTTGCAAATTATGGTGTAAAATAAGTATTTGGTCAATAACAAAAGTTTCTCAATACTTTGTTATATACCCTTTGTTGGCAATGACACAGGTCAAACGTTTTCAGTAAGTCTTCACAAGGTTTTCACACACTGTTGCTGGTATTTTGGCCCATTCCTCCATGCAGATCTCCTCTAGAGCAGTGATGTTTTGGGGCTGTCGCTGGGCAACATGGACTTTCAACTCCCTCCAAAGATTTTCTATGGGGTTGAGATCTGGAGACTGGCTAGGCCACTCCAGGCCCTTGAAATGCTTCTTACGAAGCCACTCCTTCGTTGCCCGGGCGGTGTGTTTGGGATCATTGTCATTCTGAAAGACCCAGCCACGTTTCATCTTCAATGCCCTTGCTGATGGAAGGAGGTTTTCACTCAAAATCTCACGATACATGGCCCCATTCATTCTTTCCTTTACACGGATCAGTCGTCCTGGTCCCTTTGCAGAAAAACAGCCCCAAAGCATGATGTTTCCACCCCCATGCTTCACAGTAGGTATGGTGTTCTTTGGATGCAACTCAGCATTCTTTGTCCTCCAAACACGACTAGTTGAGTTTTTACCAAAAAGTTCTATTTTGGTTTCATCTGACAATATGAGATTCTCCCAATACTCTTCTGGATCATTCAAATGCACTCTAGCAAACTTCAGACGGGCCTGGACATGTACTGGCTTAAGCAGGGGGACACGTCTGGCACTGCAGGATTTGAGTCCCTGGCGGCGTAGTGTGTTACTGATGGTAGGCTTTGTTACTTTGGTCCCAGCTCTCTGCAGGTCATTCACTAGGTCCCCCCGTGTGGTTCTGGGATTTTTGCTCACCGTTCTTGTGATCATTTTGACCCCACGGGGTGAGATCTTGCGTGGAGCCCCAGATCGAGGGAGATTATCAGTGGTCTTGTATGTCTTCCATTTCCTAATAATTGCTCCCACAGTTGATTTCTTCAAACCAAGCTGCTTACCTATTGTAGATTCAGTCTTCCCAGCCTGGTGCATGTCTACAATTATGTTTCTGGTGTCCTTTGACAGCTCTTTGGTCTTGGCCATAGTGGAGTTTGGAGTGTGACTGTTTGAGGTTGTGGACAGGTGTCTTTTATACTGATAACAAGTTCAAACAGGTGCCATTAATACAGGTAACGAGTGGAGGACAGAGGAGCCTCTTAAAGAAGAAGTTACAGGTCTGTGAGAGCCAGAAATCTTGCTTGTTTGTAGGTGACCAAATACTTATTTTCCACCATAATTTGCAAATAAATTCATTAAAAATCCTACAATGTGATTTTCTGGATTTTTTTTCTCATTTTGTCTGTCATAGTTGACGTGTACCTATGATGACAATTACAGGCCTCTCTCATCTTTTTAAGTGGGAGAACTTGCACAATTGGTGGCTGACTAAATACTTTTTTCCCCACTTTACGCCTATGGGCTAGGCTACATGGTGTGCAACTATGATTTGAAAAAGTCCCCCAAAAAAAGGCATGCACTGTTTCTTGCCTTAGACTGCACACACTGGGAATTATTCACAAATGATAATACATCATTCACAAGTGATAATACTGTCACCCATCAGACTATTCTCAATTTAATATTGTCTTTACATATACTAAATAATATATACAGTAAGTGTGAAATTAGTTTTGATTTAGAATGGACCATTATCATGTACCTGTCGGAACAGGGGCAGGAGAAAGAAATAGGTAATCCGTATGCTCTTAAATAGCGAATGGAGGGCGCTTTTCCCGCGGTTCATTTTCATGCCATAAAAGTAGGCTACTTTTGTTGTAAAGCCTGTGGTGGTCCCGTGTGGCTCAGTTGGTAGAGCAGAGCATATGAGCGGAGTGGAGCGGTGAGAATCTCAGCTCCTCGCTCACGGAGCTGTTCACCCCTCCGCTGCCCCCGCTCAAAGCCACATCAGGCCAGTCCGCTCATTATCGCTCAGCGCTCAACGCAGTTTGCATCGCGCTCCACTCAAATCGCCCCCCGCTCACTCCAAAAAAGGAAAAAAATCTGCATGTATTTCACTTTTAGCTTAAACCACAGCCTTACCTTATCTCCCCAAGTTTGTTGCATACAGACTCACCTCGGATTATCCATTCTGTCTTGAAACGGGTATCTAACACTGATGCTAAAATGAGATGTTTATCAGTATAGTATATTCCATAGCGAATTGACACGTTGTTTGCCAATGTTTCTGCAAAAGCAGCGATGCCCATTGGAAGTGCAGCGTGAGTGTCATCGGTGAGCAGGGATCTGATTTCTGTGACAGCAGGGAGGATCATCCCCAGCTCCTTCTGCATTTTGTCTGTGAGGTCTGCCAGTGGTGTCAGCACACTGACAAGGTGTGTCAGCTGCCGTACTTGATTCAGGGTGATGTTAGCAACATTAGACTTGAGTTTGTTTTGCCATAACGGATCTTTTTGGAACAACCGGATGAACGACTAAATCATCCGCAGCTGGCTGCTCCATCGAGTGGCGCAGGCATTTGTGGGGCGGACACCTAATTGGTCGGTTTCCTCTGTGTTCAGGGTGCTCTTGCGTACACTTTTCACCAGGTGCTCGACTTTCACTAACAGCCTATTAATGTTGTCGTGCTCGTTAACAGCGTCTTTGATCGCCAGCTGAAGCATGTGAATGGGGCATCTCAGATGTAAATTTGACACAGTAAAGTACTGATTTATCATAGTTTCTACATTAGTGGTTATCACTTCCACATGGACTTGCGAGGGCGCAGGTGGTCCCTCATCCTCCTCTTCATGTTCTGCGCTGCTGCTGGCATCCGCGGTCACTTCACCCTCCGCCTCCTCTTCAGTGCCAGGGAGGAGGTTAAACGCCTTGATCATGTTGCTGGCACTGTCAGTGACGACCCAAATCACATGTCGTTGCACGTTCCAATATTTCAGTACACTTTCATACTTTTGGTAAATACGATCTGCGGTATGGTGCCCCTGTATGTGCTCACAGCCCAACAAAACCGTGTGCCCCCGGAACGTCCCATCAATGAAACTGGCCACGATGCCAAGGAAGCTGTGCCCTCTTCTACTGGTCCAAATGTCCGCTGACAGAACGAGCCCATCACCATTTTGCAGTAGGTCTTGCAGTTTGGCTTCCATCTCTTCCAGGGCATGTGGCATGAGCGTGTCCCTTACGGTGTAGCCCGGTTGAGCTGCGCTGGCGAAGTGTTGCATCTCTTCACGTTCTCCTTTACTCAGCGGTTCATAGTCCATGTATATCATTTTTAAAAATGCTACATCCAGCTCTCTTTTTCTCTCCCTTGTTATGGTTGGGCCTTTGCGTGCAGTGAAGAAACTTTTGAATTCCTCAACCCTTTTCTCTTGTTGCTGCTGCTGCTCCTCTCGCTCTATAAAATACAAATTCATGGACGACACAAATTAAATTAAACGAACCATATATTAGGCCTACTTTGAATGACAAAACAAATTTGTTTGAATATTAGGCTATATTTACTTTACACTTTTGTTACAAGTTACCGTATTCAACTTGCTAACCTTTTGCTTTCTTCCCAGCGTGTTCACGTAGCACACTTTCGTGTTTGAGAGATGTGTCTTTTTAGATTCCAAAATGAATCTTTATTGACTGAAACGATGTCACCACATTCTTTTTCTAGTACCACATTATCATTGTTAATTAGTTTGATATTAATAGTACACCTGTATGACTTCTCATTTTCCTTTTTGAAGTACTTGGTGAACTCCATTATTGAGCCGGGTTTTGACTGAAAATAGTCTACTGTTGATGACTGTGCAAGACACAGATGGATTCTGGGTCAGGCTTGAGCATGCTTCAGACTTGTGTTGTGAGCGGAGCGAAATTGGAGCGGGACATAGGGCGACGCTCTACCGTTCAAAAGTTTGGGGTCACTTAGAAATGTCCTTGTTTTCGGCAGCTTCATTAAATAGTACCCGCAAAACACCAGTCTCAACGTCAACAGTGAAGAGGCGGACCTTTTAGGCAGAATGGCAAAGAAAAAGCCATATCTCAGACTGGCCAATAAAAATAAAAGATGGGCAGTCTGAGATATGGCTTTTTCTTTGCAACTCTGCCTAGAAGGTCAGCATCCCGGAGTCGCCTCTTCCCTGTTGACGTTGAGACTGGTGTTTTGCAGGTACTATTTAATGAAGCTGCCAGTTGAGGACCTGTGAGGCATCTGTTTCTCAAACTAGACACTAATGTATTTGTCCTCTTGCTCAGTTGTGCACAAGGGCCTCCCACTCTTTCTATTCTGGTTAGAGCCAGTTTGCGCTGTTCTGTGAAGGGAGTAGTACACAGCGTTGTACGAGATCTTCAGTTTCTTGGCAATTTCTCGCATGGATTAGCCTTCATTTCTCAGAACAAGAATAGACTGATGAGTTTAAGAAGAAAGTTATTTGTTTCTGGCCATTTTGAGCCTGTAATCGAACCCACAATTGCTGATGCTCAAGATACTCAACTATTCTCAAGAAGGCCAGTTTTATTGCTTCTTTAAATCAGCACAACAGTTTCCAGCTGTGCTAACATAATTGCAAAAGGGTTTTCTAATGATCAATTAGCCTTTTTAAATGATAAACTTGGATTAGCAAACACAACGTGCCATTGGAACACAGGACTGATGGTTTCTGATAATGGGCCTCTGTACGCCTATGTAGATATTCCATTAAAAATCAGCAATTTCCAGCTACAATAACCATTTACAACATTAACAATGTCTACACTGTATTTCTGATCAATTTGATGTTATTTTAACGGACCAAAAAATAGGTTTTCTTTCGAAAACAAGGACATTTCTAAGTGACCCCAAACTTTTGAACGGAAGTGTAGGCCCCGAACTATACAATGGTAGGGGAAACACTGCTGTTGTACTAACCCTATACTCAGGCTCAGGAAAGCGCTTGTTGACGCACTGGTAGAGCTGTTGGAAGGCCTGGCAGAGTGCAACGGGGCAGTAGGAGGCTGACTGGTTAATCGCATGGAGCAACTCAGAAAGGTAGGACTGCAGGAGGCTGGTGCTCTGCTGGATCACCTCAGCCTCAGTGTGCACCCGGTGGAGGCCCGTACACCTACACACTCACACAAACACACACACACGTACGCAGATGCAGACATAGACATGGGCAGGCACACACAAACAGGCACACAAAGATTGACATACAAGTCATCTACCAAGTCAGAAACAGTAAGAGACGGAATAATTAGATGTAGCATGTGTGGCTAAGTATGAAAATTAAGATGCATATTATCTTGTGAAAAATAGGAAAAAGACTCCGCACACTTCCAATCAAGGCACATTTTTTTAATTTTACCTGAGCTTTTCGGTCAGTGGACCTTCATCAGAGCATCGAATGACTGAAAGGTCAGCTACTATTAATGAATGTGTATTTGACTGGAAGTGTAGGGACTTTTTCCTATTTCTCCAGTTGCCTTTTGCCTCCAGCACCTTCATTAATCAACACTGGGTGGGAGGTAGATTCTGCCTACATCTCATCTTGAAATATGTTCTTACCCAGCCTCCTTCAACTCCACTTTGTTAGGGTCCAGCTCCACATACTTTTTCTCTTCAAAGATCCTGTTGATCAAGGGGCCCAGAAGCCTGTGCAGATACTGCATGCCTGCCACCTGTGGTAGTCAGATGGCAAAATGGCCGCCATGCTACAGTATTTGTGGGAAAACATTTTAAGTATCTGTCCAATGCTCCAGTTTTCAATGAAAACATGGCTTATAATGAATTAAAATCATAGTAAAATGGATATCCTTCCATACACACACACACTATATACACACACAGTATATATATATATATATATATATATATATATATATATATATACATATATACATATATACATACATACATACATACATACATACATACATACATACATACATACATACATACATACATACATACATACATACATACATACATACATATATATATATATATAGGGTTTGCCTTTATTTTTACAATTTTTTACATTGTAGAATAATAGTGAAGACATCAAAACTATGAAATAACACATATGGAATCATGTAGTAACCAAAAAAGTGTTCAACAAATCAAAATATATTTTATATTTGAGATTCTTCAAGTAGCCACCTTTTGCCTTGATGACAGCTTTGCACACTCTTGGCATTCTCTCTACCAGCTGCATGAAGTAGTCACCTGGAATGCATTTCAATTAACAGGTGTGCCTTCTTAAAAGTTAATTTGTGGAATTTCTTTCCTTCTTAATGCGTTTGAGCCAATCAGTTGTGTTGTGACAAGGTAGGGTTGGTATACAGAAGACAGCCCTATTTGGTAAAATACCAAGTCCATATTATGGCAAGAACAGCTCAAATAAGCAAAGAGAAAAGACAGTCTATCATTACTTTAAGACATGAAGGTCAGTCAATACGGAACATTTAAAGAACTTTGAAAGTTTCTTCAAGTGCAGTCGCAAAAACCATCAAGCGCTATGATGAAACTGGTTCTCATGAGGACCGCCACAGGAAAGGAAGACCCAGAGTTACCTCTGCTGCAGAGGATAAGTTCATTAGAGTTACCAGCCTCAGAAATTGCAGCCCAAATAAATGCTTCACAGAGTTCAAGTAACAGACACATCTCAACATCAACTGTTGAGGGGACTGTGTGAAGCAGGCCTTCATGGTCGAATTGCTGCAAAGAAACCACTACTAAAGGACACCAATAAGAAGAGGAGACCTGCTTGGGCCAAGAAACACGAGCAATGGACATTAGACCGGTGGAAATGTGTCCTTTGGTCTGGAGTCCAAATTAGAGATTTTTGGTTCAAACCGCTGTGTCTTTGTGAGACGCGGTGTGGGTGAACGGATGATCTCCGCATGTGTAGTTCCCACTGTAAAGCATGGAGGAGGAGGTGTTATGGTGTGGGGGTGCTTTGCTGGTGACACGGTCTGTGATTCATTTAGAATTCAAGGCACACTTACCCAGCATGGCTACCACAGCATTCTGCAGCGATACGCCATCCCGTCTGGTTTGGGCTTAGTATCATCCACAATCCCCCGACCTCAATCCAATTGAGATGGTTTGGGATGAGTCGGACCGCCAAGTGAAGGAAAAGCAGCCAACAAGTGCTCAGCATATGTGGGAACTCCTTCAAGACTGTTGGAAAATCATTCCAGGTGAAGCTGGTTGAGAGAATGCCAAGAATGTGCAAAGCTGTCATCAAGGCAAAGGGTGGCTATTTGAAGAATCTCAAATCTCAAATATATTTTGATTTGTTTAACACTTTTTTAGTTACTACATGATTCCATATGTGTTATTTCATAGTGTTGATGTCTTCACTATTATTGTAGAAAATAGTAAAAATTAAGAAAAACCCTTGAATGAGTAGGTGTGTCACACACACACACACACACACACACACATACACACACACACCTGTTGCCGGAAATAGGGTTTACCTTTAAAAATGACTCCATGGACTTCGAAGCCAAGGAGTTGCTGCGAAACAAGGTGTTGGGTTCACCTGAGGAAAGAGATCAACGACAACAGCCAGCAATGAAATAAGGAAGTCCATAAATATAAAGTGCTATTATCATTTTACTACAGATGATCAACCACTAAACGTTAAAGAGTGCAACTACACTGAACAAAAATATAAAACGCAACATGCAACAATTTCAAATATTTGACTGAGTTACAGTTCACATAAGAAAATCAATTGAAATAAATTAATTAGGCCCAAATACATGGATTTCATATGACTGGGAATACATATATGCATCTGTTAGTCACAGACACCTTAAAAAGGTAGGAGCATGGATCAGAAAACCAGCCAGTATCTGGTGTGACCATCATTTGCCTCATTCAGAGCGACACATCTCCTTCACATAGAGTTGATCATTTGCCTCATACCCCACCGCCACCATGGGGCACTCTGTTCACAACATTGACATCAGCAAACCGCTCGCCCACACGACGCCATACACGCTATCTGCCATCTGCCCGGTACAGGTGAATCTGGGATTCATCCGTGAAGAGCACACTTCTCCAGCATGCCAGTGGCTATCTAAGGTGAGCATTTTCCCAGTGAAGTCGGGAACGACGTCAAACTGCAGTCAGGTCAAGACCCTGGTGAGGACGACGAGCACGCAGATGAGCTTCCCGAGACGGTTTCTGACAGTTTGTGAAGAAATTCATCAGCTGTCCGGGTGGCTGGTCTCAGACAATTCCGCAGGTGAAGAAGCCGGATGTGGAGGTCCTGGGCTGGCGTGGATACACGTGGTCTGCGGTTGTGAGGCCAGTTGGATGTACTGCCAAATTCTCTAAAACAATGTTGGAGGCGGCTTATGGTCGAGAAATGAACATTCAATTCTTTGGCAACAGCTCTGGTGGACATTCCTGCAGTCAGCATGCCAATTGCACGCTCCGTCAAAACTTGAGATATCTGTGGCATTGTGTTGTGTGACAAAACTGCACATTTTAAAGTGGCCTTTTATTGTTCCCAGCACAAGTCGCACCTGTGTACCCATCATGCTGTTTAATCAGCTTCTTGATATGCCACACCTGTCAGGTAGATGGATTAGCTTGGCAAAGGAGAAATGTTCACTAACAAGGATGTAAACAAATTTGAGAGAAATACGCTTTTTGTGCATATGGAACATTTCTGCGATCTTTTATTTCAGCTCATGAAACATGGGACCAACACTTTACATGCTGCGTTTCTATTTTTGTTCAGTATAAGTAAGGGATAATCAACGGGTGGCTATGCGTACTCTGGAAAATAGTGCACAACGCATAGAGCCCTGAGTTGATTATCCCTTTTATAACATGGCTATAAATTAACATTTTCTGCTAGAAATGTATTCATTTGCCAGTAGAAATATGACAACATCCACTGAAGTAGCTAGCAAGTGTACTAGCTACTTCAGTGGATGTTGACACATTTCAAGTTTACTAGCTAGCTAGCTACAGTAGTTGCCCTGGTAACCAAACAAACAGACTTGCTAGCTTAGCTAACCAAATCATCCTCCTACCTTCCTTTTATGAAAATCGAATTCAACAATGCCAATAATGTTTTCAATTCGACTTTTGCTTTCAAAAGCAGCTCAAAAATAGAACATGTAAGAATGAACTTCATAGCCATTGAATTATACCGTGCAATTATACTGTGCTTTATAGGGAATTATACAACGGCTGGGTCTAATCCTGTATGCTGATTGGTTAAAACCGCATTCCAGCCGGTGTGTATTCCACAAGTTACCAGCAGCTAAATTTATGACGTTGAACTGCCTATTTACTCTGTTCCATCTGACTGCGCAATCCACTGTCTCATCAGCTCAGCAACAATCAACAATGAGCTGATCATGCCAGATTTTGCCTGGTATAGACAATATACCACAAACCCTGAGGTGCCTTATTGCTATTAAATTGGTTACCAATGTAATTAGAGCAGTACAAATAAATGTTTTGTCATACCTGTGGTATACTGTCTGATATACCATGGCTTTCAGCCAAATCAGCATTCAGGGTTCGAACCACCCAGTCTATAACATTGGATAACAATCATTCACTAATGTTGCAGATCGAAATGTTACAAATAGAGCTGATATGATTCCTTAGTGTAAATGTCAGAGAGGCATGTCCATTTAACATAATATATTTAAATCTAAACATTCCACAACATTGGGCTGTGGTGAACATGAGTCTTGTCCAACTTGTCCAACTCCAGTTTAGGTGTGTGAAGTCTGACTTACTAGTCTTGTCCAACTCCAGCTTGAAGAGAACATCCAGGAACTCCTTGGCCAGTCCCTGACCCAGGAAGAGCTTCACCAGGTTGGAGGCCACTTCCTGTCGACTCTCTGCTGTAGTGGTCTCATCGATGAGCATGATCAAATCTGGCCAGTTGCCCTATGAAACCAAGCCAAGATTTATCATCACAAGCGCTTGTGGTCCTGTGTGACTCAGGTGGTAAGAGCACGGCTCTGGCAACACCAAGGTTGTGGGTTCATTTCCCGCAGAGGTCACACCTACTAAAAATGAACTCTTTACTGTAAATTGCTCTGGATTAAAGCATCTGCTAAGAGGCATATTTTATTGTGCCACATACCATGCAGCAAATCAACACAATATAGGATTCATTAATCAGGATTAAGACCAAGCATATTATTTCATGTACTTACAATAGCTTTGAAAAACTGTTCATTCAGTTTCTGGTTAAAACGCAAAGGTTGAAAACCAGCATACATGGCCCGTGGCCCTCGAGGACCGGAGCTGTTTACCCCTGAATTTACGCAACCCAGGCGACACTTGAGAGACTGAGGAGTGGCATTGACTTGGTGCTCACATTAAGATGGGGGCCCACGGATTGGCACAGCAGCTCTGTAAGTGGTTGGTAGTGGCCGGAGGGCAGGACCGTCTCATCTCGGAGGCGCAGCTGCAGGCGCAGAGATCCCAGAGTGCCCCTGGAGCAGAATAGAGAAGAAGAACATAACAGGAAGTCATATAAAAACAAAGTAAAACATTTTTGGGGCAAACCTTTGCAGAAAAGAGAATCTTGCCTATGACAAAAACACATTAAGGGAACCAGTATACCCAGCCAGTACCAATGCATAAAACAAATAAAAAATTTAAAGTATCTTTGGTGTGTTAAAAACAGACAGTCAGACAATGTTTTGAACACACCCTACTATATTGGTACGTTACAGACAGTCGGACACCATGTAATGTACCCATACAGCACGACAATACACAGTCAACCTTTGTGTGTGTCCAAAAGAGGTGTGGAAAAAAAGATCTGAGTAACACTTTTCCAATAAAGTGGTAAGAATGGCCCAGACTGTGGAATGCAGTTATATTAGGGAAAGTTACTCATCAAGCCATTTGGAACAAAAATGACAGTCTTACTAGCATTGTGAGTAGAACCAAGTTCATTTTATTGGAGCTAGGGTGCTTGGTGAAGCTGAGGGAGTAGTACAAAGTGGTAAGAAGTCAAGATCCTAAAGGCCACAAATGCTTTTTTGCAGCTCAACCATTTAAAGTCATCCACAGGCCCACACAGCACTGCATTAGGGTTTCAAAATTCCAGTAACATTCCCAAAATTCCCAAGTTTTCCAGAAATCCTGGTTGGAGGATTCACAACCCTCTACTGAGGAGCTGGCACTTAAAGGATTGGATGAGTGATCCGGACTTGACACTCGTCATTTCCTGGCACAAGCCACACACACGACTAGTCAACAAGATTGCAGGCCCCAGATGGCAACCGCCTGTCAGAAATCTAATCAAGAGGAAGGGCAGAGGCAGGATATTTTTTTTTAAAGAGACAATATAAACAACAACAACAGCTTGACTGGCTGAAAAGAGTGGGAAGAAAGAGGATCATTTGAGAAGACAAGGATTACGTGGGCTTAATCTGAGAATTTTACCACAGAGTTGATCAAAGTCGTCTGATGAAAACCGACTTTCAATAGGTTGCCATGCCGACACTGCCCAAAATAAAAAATAGATAATAACTTTCATGACTAAGCATTAATAAACTATTTATTAATAGTTTATGAATATTGTATTATCTGTAAAAAAAGCATTTTAAACATGTATCATGTATTTTTCTTTTTTATTTTACCTTTATTTAACTAGGCAAGTCAGTTAAGAACAAATTCTTATTTACAATGACGGCCTACACTGGCCAAACCCGGACGACGCTGTGCGTCGCCCTATGGGACTCCCAATCATGGCCGGTTGTGATACAGCCTGGAATCGAACCAGGGGGTCTGTAGTGACGCCTTAAGCACTGAGATGCAGTGCCTTAGACCGCTGCGCCACTCGGGAGCCCATTATAAGAATGTAATGGCTTATTCATGAACATTATTATATAGTGTAACCACGGTTTGACATTTCAACAGTACCAGTACTCGTCATGGCATTTGATTTAAATTGTTATGATTTCATAACTAAGGGTGACATCATGAATATGGAGGTAAATCTTGTTAGAGTTATTACTTGGAGAGCAGCACAGACACCGCTAAATAATCCTTTGTTTGGGATTGGCGTGACATTTTAAACAGCCCTCCCTTCTTTCCCGGTTATGAAAATAGAAAGTGAGACAGAGCAGTGACAGACAGATGTCCATCAATAATCGTGACCGGCCAAAACAATGTTACGCATCGCCTGAGAGGGAAATGTAGGATTTTCTCATATCAAAACCTAATTCAATATCCCCAGAATGTTTTTAAATAATTTATTTTCCTTTTGTACTTGCCATTACATCATCGCTACAGATTCAACTGTACTACTTTCGAGAACCAATTTGATAAATAGAATCCAAAATAGAATATTAGTATAACAATTTTAAAAAGGACAGCAGACATTAGAATGAGGCCATTCGGGAAACATTAAGTTGGTGGGGTCATACTGATTAATTGGAGGAGAAGAGATGGTGGTTAAATCACTGTCTGCATCATAAATGCCAACCTATTCCCACAAAAGTACTGTACTATAAAGGGAATTGGGTGCCATTTGGCATGCATCCACTATGTTCATACTGTACAGTAAGAGGTTTGGCTTTATAATCTTACAATTACAACCACTTCCTGACGTATGCAGCACTAAATATATTATACACTGACCTATGGTCCCTGTGACTAATACAGTGAGGGAAAAAAGTATTTGATCCCCTGCTGATTTTGTACGTTTGCCCACTGACAAAGAAATGATCAGTCTATAATTTTACTGGTAGGTTTATTTGAACAGTGAGAGACAGAATAACAACAAAAAAATCCAGAAAAACGCATGTAAAAAATGTTATAAATTGATTTTGATTTGAATGAGGGAAATAAGTATTTGACCCCCTCTCAATCAGAAAGATTTCTGGCTCCCAGGTGTCTTTTATACAGGTAACGAGCTGAGATTAGGAGCACACTCTTAAAGGGAGTGCTCCTAATCTCAGTTTGTTACCTGTATAAAAGACACCTGTCCACAGAAGCAATCAATCAATCAATCAGATTCCAAACTCTCCACCATGTCCAAGACCAAAGAGCTCTCCAAGGATGTCAGGGACAAGATTGTAGACCTACACAAGGCTGGAATGGGCTACAAGACCATCGCCAAGCAGCTTGGTGAGAAGGTGACAACAGTTGGTGCGATTATTCGCAAATGGAAGAAACACAAAATAACTGTCAATCTCCCTCGGCCTGGGGCTCCATGCAAGATCTCACCTCATGGAGTTGCAATGATCATGAGAACGGTGAGGAATCAGCCCAGAACTACACGGGAGGATCTTGTCAATGATCTCAAGGCAGCTGGGACCATAGTCACCAAGAAAACAATTGGTAACACACTACGCCGTGAAGGACTGAAATCCTGCAGCGCCCGCAAGGTCCCCCTGCTCAAGAAAGCGCATATACATGCCCGTCTGAAGTTTGCCAATGAACATCTGAATGATTCAAAGGAGAACTGGGTGAAAGTGTTGTGGTGAGATGAGACCAAAATGGAGCTCTTTGGCATCAACTCAACTCACCGTGTTTGGAGGAGGAGGAATACTGCCTATGACCCCAAGAACACCATCCCCACCGTCAAACATGGAGGTGGAAACATTATGCTTTGGGGGTGTTTTTCTGCTAAGGGGACAGGACAACTTCACCGCATCAAAGGGACGATGGACGTCAAATCTTGGGTGAGAACCTCCTTCCCTCAGCCAGGGCATTGAAAATGGGTCGTGGATGGGTATTCCAGCATGAAAATGATCCAAAACACATGGCCAAGGCAACAAAGGAGTGGCTCAAAAATAAGCACATTAAGGTCCTGGAGTGGCCTAGCCAGTCTCCAGACCTTAATCCCATAGAAAATCTGTGGAGGGAGCTGAAGGTTCGAGTTGCCAAACGTCAGGCTCGAAACCTTAATGACTTGGAGAAGATCTGCAAAGAGGAGTGGGACAAAATCCCTCCTGAGATGTGTGCAAACCTGGTGGCCAACTACAAGAAACGTCTGACCTCTGTGATTGCCAACAAGGGTTTTGCCACCAAGTACTAAATCATGTTTTGCAGAGGGGTCAAATACTTATTTCCCTCATTAAAATGCAAATCAATTTATAACATTTTTCACATGCGTTTTTCTGGATTTTGTTGTTGTTATTCTGTCTTTCACTGTTCAAATAAACATACCATTAAAATTATAGATTGATCATGTCTTTGTCAGTGGGCAAACGTACAAAATCAGCAGGGGATCAAATACATTTTTCCCTCACTGTAGTGCATCTGGTCACCTCAGGTCCTTATTTGGTAGTTATGTCCGCAGGTTTCTACAGTCTCAACCAATCTTCCTCCAGTGAAAGCCCCTAACTGGTTAGGGTAGAGAGCCCAATATTTTGGATTTCCCTTTATTAATGGGAAACATCAAGTAAACGGTGAGAATGAAAAGCAGCACCCACGATCAGCACCACCACCAGTCAAGATCACGATCAGCACCACCACCAGTCATGATCACGATCAGCACCACCACCAGTCATGATCACGATCAGCACCACCACCAGTCATGATCACGATCAGCACCCCCACCAGTCATGATCACGATCAGCACCACCACCAGTCATGATCACGATCAGCACCCCCACCAGTCATGATCACGATCAGCACCCCCACCAGTCATGATCACGATCAGCACCCCCACCAGTCATGCACTGGTCTATAATACAACCATTTATGAAGTACTTACATGCATAACAATTAGCATTTGCTTACAAACACATTAGGGCCAGATCATAAGCTGTATGCTTGTAAGCTGGTAATGATGATTAAAGACGCTTATGGAGAAGCATGATGACATGACGTTAGTTATACATCACGTCATTCTTTATTGCATTCACGACGACGGCTTTATGAATGGCTGCACAACATGACCTAAAGCAGTGTGATGTCCATAGAAATAGAACTTTAGTCCTATGGGTACACTCAAAATGACCGCCAGTTCACCCATTATGGCATTCACCCATTAGGATTATCTTTCTATGGCTATGTACTGCACCAACCAGGAAGAGCATGCCCTCTCAAATCCTCCCCAACCATGATCACATTCAGAGGTTAATGGAGGTTCTTCTTGTCCCTCAATACCAGCCACCAGCTGAGAGAACAACATCCAATGCCCGCCAGTGCCAGCGAGCCATGTAGCTGGCCCAATCGCCCTACATTGCCCTTGTTTCTGGCACTAATCTGGGTTCCCGTGGGGGCATACTGCTTTTGTCCCCTCCTGTCCAAAAAGGATGCATATCCTGCTAGAGCCCTCTTCCTTTTACATAAGCCCCACTCCTCCTCTCCTCACCGTTTCCCTCCCTCTCCATCTATCTCTAATCCCTGCCCAGAGTCCACATGGCCAAATTATCCTTTATGGAGGAGAAATAAACCAGGGATTTAGCCCGGGAAAAGGATTAGCACTTCCTGTCGGCACATGGACCAGAACAGATGCACCCACCCACACGCTCGCACATACATGCACGTACACACATGCGTACATATGCACGCGCACTAATACACACGCACACAGACACAGACAGACACACACACTACACTCTCATATACATAAAAAGCTAACTGAAGCTGGCTAGCTTCAGAAAACCCTGAGTAGATCTAGCTTCCATCTTAGTGTACCCCTTTGGACTGTGAGATACAAAACAAATTACCTGAGCCTGCTTCCGCCACCTAATTTACAACACTACTCTTTGAGGATACACCAATACTCTGAGGATACTACACACGTCATTCTTCTTTACCTATTGTGTTTCATTACTTATTTATTGACATTGGCCAATACCAATAATAATGGATTTCAATGTCTATGACTGCCATGTGGGTATAGAAAAACACAAAAAAACTAACTTGGATATTGAGGAGCTTGCATGTCACTTCAAGCCATTTCTATATTGTCAGCTAACGGTTGTTTCCTTGGTGCAAAAAACTTGTTTGCATTTATAATAATGGTGGCAACCCATTGATACTCACTCATGCTGACTATGTTTGGGCTTATCAGGGACCAGGCGAAACCAGCCCTCCTCCTGGTGGGCTGACTGCAGCCTGTGGATGTTGAACAGAACCTGAACAGAACAGAGGAGAATAAACATCAACACATTTGATTTGGGAATTACAATACGTCGTAAACTAATTGTATTCAATGTAAATGGAGAGTAGTGTTTATCATGTTGTGATCCAGTGTGTCTGAATCTGACGTCTACAGAACAGGGCCTGTATTTATCAAGCGTCTCAGAGTAAGAGTGCTGATCTAGGATCAGGTCCCCCCCGTCCATAATAATCGTATTAATTATTATCCAACAGGCTAAACTCAGCACTGCTACTCTGAGACTCTTTTTAAAATATGGACATAACCAGGGTTCCAATTATCCATTCAACATTCATATTTATAACACTTATAGGGGTGCCCACGTTAATATTGTGTGACTGACCGGGCTTCAAACCCCAGGTCTCCTGCACAACATAATATCATACCTTACAAAATATGCCTACTGAGTTAAAGCCTAGGTATTAGCTTAGGGAGATGACTAAGACCTGCCGACTTGCGTTAAGGTTACACGACCAAACCACCTATATTACAACGTGAGTGCCTCTCACACCACTGTTATTCAGACTTGGGACTAGGACTACAAAATTCCAGTAACCTTCCTAAGGTTTTCCTGCTTATTCCTTTCTGATTCAGGGAATCTTCCAACCAGGATTTCTGGGAAACCTGGGAATATTTGGAAAGTTACCAGAATTTTGGGAAAGTTACCCCAACAGGACTCCTCACCTTGCCCAGGAAGTCATTCTTGCTGACCAAGTCCCAGTCCCACACCTCGACACTCAGAGGGGTGTCCAGGGGGGCATCGTCCAGCTCAAACTCAAAGCTCTCATTCCAGCGTGGGTAACAGGACTTCTTGACCACCTGAAACCACAGAGACATCCATTCCCAGGTTCCTATATTCAATTCACAAATCAAAAGGGCTGTTTCAAAAGGTTTTTCCAATGAATGTATTAAATGATTAAATATCTTCATGTAAGGACCATGGGTGTGGGCAGGTCCTTGGCTTACCGCACTTTCGTGGGTTTTGCCGTTGTATCGTACTCTGACAAACGGGTCCGACGCTCCGTTGCGATCCTTTTTTGCAAGGTCTCTGAAGCACAAACCCACACAAAAAGGAAAGTTAGTTGACATTGCAGACATTGTGTCTCCACTCTCCATCAGATCTGGGTCACTCAAAACAGTATCTGTTTTCTTTTAAACACATCAGGTGCGTTCGATTAAGTTCTCTCCGGTGCAATGGGATCAATGGAATAGTCCCAAAAGTGCAAACCCACCCACCTGGCGCACCAGGCAAGCAAAATCAAGTGCACCTAACGTAATTATAAGAAAAACAATGTCTAGTCTCAATCACAAAAAACGCCCTCCCACGCACTATTTGAGATTTACATTTTAGTCATTTAGCAGACGCTCTTATCCAGAGCGACTTACAGTGCATACATTTTTCATACTGGCCCCCCGTGGGAAACGAACCCACAACCCTGGCGTTGCAAGCGCCATGCTCTACCAACTGAGCTACACGGGACCTGACAGACAATGTCATTATGACAGTCATACATAGTCCAACAGTCCATGAGGGAGTAGATGGGGAAATAAGTACCATAGAAACATCAAGCATCTGTGTTTTATATCCCAGGACAGTGGGGCTATAACATAGAGGAGGGACATTGGACAGTGTGATATATACGAGATGAGGTCAGTATGAGATCATTGGGGATGAGCTCAGAGAAAGTAATCAACACTCCTAGTTGTAGTATCTAGAGTCAGCCGGGCGTATGGCTGTCTGTGTGAATCCAGCTGCTCCGACAGATGGGCTGAAATACCCACAGCACAGACGACGCCCCATATCCCACAGAGCCCTAGGTATTTATGAAGAATGAGTTGACGGAGTTGAGGCTGTGTGCCCAGTGCACCTAACGCTCAAACCTGTGAACAATACATAGATGGAACTGTGTTTGTAGTAGCCTAAACCAGACTATTGCTGATTTATCAAAGCTATGTTTATAGCGCTAACTCAAACGAAAATCATATTTAAAAAGGCCCAGTGCAGTCAAAAACGTGATTGATCCTTTTTATATACTGTACAGTGCCTATAGAAAGTCTACTCCCCCTTGAACTTTTTTCACATTTTGTTGCGTTACAAAGTGGGATTGAAATAGATTTAATTGTAATTTTTTGTCATTGAGCTACACATAATACTCCATAATGTCAAAGTGAAAAGAAAATTCTACAAATGTTTACCAATTATAACTAAAATATAGTCATTGCATGAACATTCACAACCTTTGTTTAGGAAAGTCTAAATTCATTCTAAAGTAAAATTGGGTTTAACAAATCACATAATAAGATATATGGACTCACACTGTGTGTGAAATAATAGGGGTTGACATGATTTTGAATGAAAATCCAACACATCACTGAGTAACTGCCTCCTTATTTTCAAGCATGGTGGTGGCTGCATCATGGTATGGGTACGCTTGACATCGGCAGGCTGAAAAGAAACAGGATGGAGCTATCCACAGGCAAAATCCTAGAGGAAAACCTGCTTTAGTCTGCTTTACACAGAGACAAAGCCAAATCTACACCGGAGTTGTTTACGAAGAAGACCGTGAATGTTTCTGAGTGGCCAACTTCGAGTATTGACTTAAATGTAATTGAAAATCTATGGCAATACCTGAAAATGGTTGTCTAGCAATGATCAACAACCAATTTGACAGAGCTTGAATAACTTTGAAAAGAATAAAGAAATGGGCAAATGTCCAGGATGGAAAGCTCTTAGACATACACATAAAGACTCATACAGTGAGGGAAAAAAGTATTTGATCCCCTGCTGATTTTGTACGTTTGCCCACTGACAAAGAAATGATCAGTCTATAATTTTAATGGTAGGTTTATTTGAACAGTGAGAGACAGAATAACAACAACAAAAATCCAGAAAAATGCATGTCAAAAATGTTATAAATTGATTTGCATTTTAATGAGGGAAATACGTATTTGACCCCCTGTCAATCAGAAAGATTTCTGGCTCCCAGGTGTCTTTTATACAGGTAACGAGCTGAGACTAGTAGCACACTCTTCAAGGGAGTGCTCCCAATCTCAGCTTGATACCTGTATAAAAGACACCTGTCCACAGAAGCAATCAATCAATCAGATTCCAAACTCTCCACCATGGCCAAGACCAAAGAGCTCTCCAAGGATGTCAAGGACAAGATTATAGACCTACACAAGGCTGGAATGGGTTACAAGACCATCGCCAAGCAGCTTGGTGAGAAGGTGACAACAGTTGGTGCGATTATTCGCAAATGGAAGAAACACAAATAACTGTCAATCTCCCTCGGCCTGGGGCTCCATGCAAGATCTCACCTCGTGGAGTTGCAATGATCATGAGAACGGTGAGGAATCAGCCCAAAACTACACGGGAGGATCTTGTCAATGATCTCAAGGTAGCTGGGACCATAGTCACCAAGAAAACAATTGGTAACACACTACGCCGTGAAGGACTGAAATCCTGCAGCGCCCGCAAGGTCCCCCCTGATCAAGAAAGCACATATACAGGCCCGTCTGAAGTTTGCCAATGAACATCTGAATGATTCAGAGGAGAACTGGGTAAAAGTGTTGTGGTCAGATGAGACCAAAATGGAGCTCTTTGGCATCAACTCAACTCGCCGTGTTTGGAGGAGGAGGAATGCTACCTATGACCCCAAGAACACCATCCCCACGTCAAACATGGACGATGGACGGGGGCATGTACCGTCAAATCTTGGGTGAGAACCTCCTTCCCTCAGCCAGGGCATTGAAAATGGGTCGTGGATGGGTATTCCAGCATGACAATGACTCAAAACATGGCCAAGGCAACAAAGGAGTGGCTCAAGAAGAAGCACATTAAGGTCCTGGAGTGGCCTAGCCAGTCTCCAGACCTTAATCCCATAGAAAATCTGTGCAGAGAGCTGAAAGTCCGAGTTGTCAAACGGCAGCCTCGAAACCTTAATGACTTGGAGAAGATCTGCAAAGAGGAGTGGGACAAAATCCCTCCTGAGATGTGTGCAAACCTGGTGGCCAACTACAAGAAACGTCTGACCTCTGATTGCCAACAAGGGTTTTGCCACCAAGTACTAAGTCATGTTTTGCAGAGGGGTCAAATACTTATTTCCCTCATTAAAATGCAAATCAATTTATAACATTTTTGACATGCATTTTTCTGGATTTTGTTGTTGTTATTCTGTCTCTCACTGTTCAAATAAACCTACCATTAAAATTATAGACTGATCATGTCTTTGTCAGTGGGCAAACACACAAAATCAGCAGGGGATCAAATACTTTTTTCCCTCACTGTAGCTGTAATCACTGCCAAATGTGATTCTACAAGTATTGACTCAGGGGTGTGAATACTTATGTAAATGAGATATTTCTGTATTTCATTTTCAATAAATTAGCAAACCTTTTTAAAAGCATGTCTTCACTATGTCATTATGTGGTATGGTGTGTCGATGGGTGAGAAAAAATAACATTTAATTCAGGCTATAACAACAAAATGTGGAATAAGTCAAGGGGTATGAATACTTTCTGAAGGCACTCAGTGTAAAAATTGTATTTTGTGTAGACAATTTTTTAAAACAATTAAATCCATTTGAATCCCACTTGTATCACAATAAAATGTGAAGAAATCCAAGATGGGTGTAGACGTTCTATAGGCACTGTATATTTCCACACTATGATGTTGGAATAATACTGTGAAATTGTAAAAATGATGAAAAAGACCGCCTGAAATCTCAGCCTGTTTTGGTGGGATGGAGTTTTGGTCTGCTTGGTGACGTCGCCAGGTGGCAAATTAGTTTATAGACCAATAAGAAAGAGAGTTCTAAACCTCTCTGCCAATAACAGCTAGTTTTCCGTTTTCCCCTCCCCACTCAGACCACTCCCAGACAGTCCTAGCTAAATTCTTGCTTGAGAAATTGCTCTTTGCTAAAAAGCTATTTTTGCTTCTTTTTGACCATTTTAATTGAAAACAATCACAGTATATAGGTTTCCATCCAATTGGCGACAGATTTTCAGACGAATATTCTAAAATCCACATAAAGAAAATACGGACATTTTTCCCCCAGTGGTGCGTTGCCCCCAAATTCACTTGTTGCAGATATAAATCAGTGTGTTTTCGCTTAATTTTTTTATAAAATATAAAGTTCAATGTGTTTCCATTGCATTTAACTCTACCGATAGTTTTGGCAAAAAAACTTGTGTTAAATAGCAAATGTGCCCCTACTCTGGTCTTGGTACGTGTGCTCTAGCCAACAGCTCGTAGCTACAGTGCGGGTAGGCTATGTGGCCAGGTAGGCTAGTCTACATGATGAGATTATTATGGATAAGAGCGAGAATATTTTTACTTGTCAAACGACAGTCAAACGGCAGTCGATCATCATGTCACCAGAATAAGACCCTCAATATTTATTGGAAAGGAGCATCAAGATCACCGTGCACTTTCACCACCCTGTGAAGTTCATAACTTACTTAATCTGTAGCCTAATAAACTGCATAGTTTTCCGAGTCGTAGTGGGATGACCACACACCATATCATCGCATGACTCCAAATGTACTTCGATACGATGGTTGTTATATCAATATTTGCGCATTAAAAAGGTGTTTTCACCGCCATTTCTCGCATAATAAATTTAACAGACAAAACGATCCCACCATGTCCAACGAACAAATGATCTGTCGGCATTTCTAAAATTGTACTGAAACTTCCTGTTTCCATCACAGCTGTCGTGATTTTATTTTATACGGTATTACTTTATTCGCATAAAAACTGTGGATGGAAACGTGGTTAGTAAGGTACTTAATTGTTACCCAGAAATGATTTGATATTGAGATAAAAACGGCTGTACTGGACCTTTAATGCAAGAAAAGTTACATTTTACATTTTTGTCATTTAGCAGACGCTCTTATCCAGAGCGACTTACAGTTAGTGAATACATATTTTATATATTTTTATTTTTTTATACTGGCCCCCCGTGGGAATCGAACCCACAACCCTGGCGTTGCAAACGACATGCTCTATCAACTGAGCTATATCCCTGCCGGCCATTTCCTCCCCTACCCTGGACGACGCTGGGCCAATTGTGCGCCGTCCATGAGTCTCCCGGTCGCGGCCGGCGGCGACAGAGCCTGGATTCGAACCAGGATCTCTAGTGGCACAGTTAGCACTGCGATGCAGTGCCTTAGACCACTGTGTCACTCAGGAGTACAAGTTGATGCAAGAATTATACTATATATATATATATATATATATATATATATATATATATATATATATATATATATATATATATATATATATATATATATATACACAGTGGGGAGAACAAGTATTTGATACACTGCCGATTTTGCAGGTTTTCCTACTTACAAAGCATGTAGAGGTCTGTAATTTTATCATAGGTACACTTCAACTGTGAGAGACGGAATCTAAAACAAAAATCCAGAAAATCACATTGTATGATTTTTAAGTAATTAATTTGCATTTTATTGCATGACATAAGTATTTGATACATCAGAAAAGCATAACTTAATATTTGGTACAGAAACCTTTGTTTGCAATTACAGAGATCAAACGTTTCCTGTAGGTCTTCACCAGGTTTGCACACACTGCAGCAGGGATTTTGCCCCACTCCTCCATACAGACCTTCTCCAGATCCTTCAGGTGTCGGGGCTGTCGCTGGGCAATACGGACTTTCAGCTCCCTCCAAAGATTTTCTATTGGGTTCAGGTCTGGAGACTGGCTAGGCCACTCCAGGACCTTGAGATGCTTCTTACGGAGCCACTCCTTAGTTGCCCTGGCTGTGTGTTTCGGGTCGTTGTCATGCTGGAAGACCCAGCCACGACCCATCTTCAATGCTCTTACTGAGGGAAGGAGGTTGTTGGCCAAGATCTCACGATACATGGCCCCATCCATCCTCCCCTGAATACGGTGCAGTCGTCCTGTCCCCTTTGCAGAAAAGCATCCACAAAGAATGATGTTTCCACCTCCATGCTTCACGGTTGGGATGGTGTTCTTGGGGTTGTACTCATCCTTCTTCTTCCTCCAAACACGGCGAGTGGAGTTTAGACCAAAAAACTATATTTTTGTCTCATCAGACCACATGACCTTCTCCCATTCCTCCTCTGGATCATCCAGATGGTCATTGGCAAACTTCAGACGGGCCTGGACATGCGCTGGCTTGAGCAGGGGGACCTTGCGTGCGCTGCAGGATTTTAATCCATGACGGCGTAGTGTGTTACTAATGGTTTTCTTTGAGACTGTGGTCCCAGCTCTCTTCAGGTCATTGACCAGGTCCTGCCGTGTAGTTCTGGGCTGATCCCTCACCTTCCTCATGATCATTGATGCCCCATGAGGTGAGATCTTGCATGGAGCCCCAGACCGAGGGTGATTGACCGTCATCTTGAACTTCTTCCATTTTCTAATAATTGCGCCAACAGTTGTTGCCTTCTCACCAAGCTGCTTGCCTATTGTCCTGTAGCCCATCCCAGCCTTGTGCAGGTCTACAATTGTATCCCTGATGTCCTTACACAGCTCTCTGGTCTTGGCCATTGTGGAGAGGTTGGAGTCTGTTTGATTGAGTGTGTGGACAGGTGTCTTTTATACAGGTAACGAGTTCAAACAGGTGCAGTTAATACAGGTAATGAGTGGAGAACAGGAGGGCTTCTTAAAGAAAAACTAACAGGTCTGTGAGAGCCGGAATTCTTACTGGTTGGTAGGTGATCAAATACTTATGTCATGCAATAAAATGCAAATTACTTAAAAATCATACAATGTGATTTTCTGGATTTTTGTTTTAGATTCCGTCTCTCACAGTTCAAGTGTACCTATGATAAAAATGACAGACCTCTACATGCTTTGTAAGTAGGAAAACCTGCAAAATCGGCAGTGTATCGCGATCGATAATAGACAGTACTGTGCAGCCGTCTTCATTGACCTGGCCAAGGCTTTCGACTCGGTCAACCACCGCATTCTTATTGGCAGACTAAATAGCCTTGGTTTCTCAAATGACTGCCTCGCCTGGTTCACCAACTACTTCTCAGATAGAGTTCAATGTGTCAAATCGGAGGGCCTGTTGTCTGGACCTATGGCAGTCTCTATGGGGGTGCCACAGGGTTCAATTCTTGGGCCGACTCTTTTCTCTGTGTATATCAATGATGTCGCTCTTGCTGCTGGTGACTCTCAGATCCACCTCTACGCAGACGACACCATTTTGTATACATCTGGCCCTTCATTGGACACTGTGTTAACAAACCTCCAAACGAGCTTCAATGCCATACAACACTCCTTCAGTAGCCTCCAACTGCTCTTAAACACTAGTAAAACTAAATGCATGCTCTTCAATCGAACGCTGCTGGCACCCGCCCACCCGACTAGAATCACCACTCTCGACGTGTCTGACCTAGAGTATGTGGACAACTACAAATACCTAGGTGTCTGGTTAGACTGTAAACTCTCCTTCCAGACTCACATTAAGAATCTCCAATCCAAAGTTAAATCTAGAATCGGCTTCCTATTTCGCAACAAAGCCTCCTTCACTCATGCTGCCAAACATGCCCTCGTAAAACTGACTATCCTACCGATCCTTGACTTCGGCGATGTCATTTACAAAATAGCCTCCAACACTCTACTCAGAAAATTGGATGTAGTCTATCACAGTGCCATCCGTTTTGTCTCCAAAGCCCCATACACTACCCACCACTGTGACCTGTACGCTCTTGTTGGCTGGTCCTCACTACATGTTCGTCGTCAAACCCACTGGCTCCAGGCCATCTATAAATCACTGCTAGGCAAATCCCCGCCTTATCTTAGCTCATTGGTCACCATAGCAGCACCCACCCGTAGTCTGCGCTCCAGCAGGTATATCTCACTGGTCATTCCCAAAGCCAACACCTCCTTTGGCCGCCATTCCTTCCAGTTCTCTGCTGCCAATGACTGGAACGAATTGCAAACATCTCTGAAGCTGGAGACTGATCTCCCTCACTAACTTTAAGCATCAGTTGTCAGAGCACCTTACCGATCACTGCACCTGTACACAGCGCATCTGAAATTAGCCCACCCAACTACCTCATCCCTATATTGTTATTTATTTTGCTCTTTTGCACCCCAGTATCTCTATTTGCACATAATCTCTTGCACATCTAGCATTCCAGTGTTAATACTAATTGTAATTATTTTGCACTATAGCCTATTTATTGCCTTACCTCCATAACTTGCTACATTTGCACACACTGTTTATATATTTTCTGTTGTATTTTTTTACCCCATATGTAACTCTGTGTTGTTGTTTTTATCGCACTGCTTTGCTTTATCTTGGCCAGGTCGCAGTTGTAAATGAGAACTTGTTCTCAACTGGCTTACCTGGTTAAATAAAGGTGAAAAAAAAGGTATCAAATACTTGTTCTCCCCACTGTGTGTATATATATATATATATATATATATATATATATATATATATATATATATATATATATATATATATATATATATATATATATATATATATATATATATATATATATATATATATATATATATATACAAAAGTATGTGGACACCACTTAAGAGCTCAGTGACTTTCAATGTGGCACAGTCATAGGATGCCACCTTCACAACAAGTCAGTTCATCAAATTTCTGCCCTGCTAGAGCTGCTCCGGTCAACTGTAAGTGCTGTTATTGTGAAGTGGAAACGTGTAGGAGCAACAACGGCTCAGCCGTGAAGTGATAGGCCACACAAGCTCACAGAACGGGACCGGCGAAAAATAAAGTAGTAAAAATAGTCTGTCCTCAGTTGCACCACTCTACCGAGTTCCAAACTGCCTCTGGAAGCAACGTCAGCACAATAACTGTTAGTCGGGAGCTTCATGAAATGGATTTCCATGGCTGAGCAGCCGCACACAAGCCTAAGATCACAATGCGCAATGCCAAGCGTCGGCTGGAGTGGTGTAAAGCTCGCCGCCATTGGACTCTGGAGCAGTGAAAACGCGTTCTCATAGTATGCTACAGCATACAATGACATTCTAGATTATTCTGTGCTTCCAACTTTGTGGCAACAGTTTGGGGAATGCCCTTTCCTGTTTCAGCATGACAATGCCCCCATGCACAAGGCGAGGTCCATACAGAAATGGTTTGTCAAGATCAGTGTGGAAGAACATGACTGGTCTGCACAGAGCCCTGACCTCAACCCCATCAAACACCTTTGGGATGAATTGGAACGCCGACTGCGAGACAGGCCTAATCGCTCAACCTCAGTGCCTGACCTCACTAATGCGCTTGTGGCTGAATGGAAGCAAGTCCCCGCAGCACTGTTCATCTAGTGGAAAGCCTTCCCAGAAGAGTGGAGGCTGTTATAGCAGCAAAAGGGGGACCAACTCCATACTAATGCCCATGATTTTGGAATGAGATGTTTGACGAGCAGCTGTCCACATACTTTTGGTCATGTAGCGTATATAACATCCAAAACATCTGTGAATTAATACTTTTGATGATAAACAATTGGTTTTACATAGAGAAGTGCTCATAAAAATGTATACAGTGATGGTAGACCCCACCTCATCCACTACCAATGAGCAGCACTGGCCTTGTGTGATGTAGTTGCTATACAAAGCGATGCCATCGGCATATCTAGAGTAGAACCTGAGAAGTAGGTCCACCCTAGATCCCACAGGTAATTTGTCATCTTCTAGGTAATTAATTTCTATTTACTATGACATTTAGCAGACAATTTTATCCAACTTCCTGTAGTGCATGCATACATTTTGGTATGGGTGGCCCCAGCGGGAATAGAACCCACAATTCCTGGCGTTGCAAGCGCTATGCCTCAACAAATACAGGACTAGCCAACATCCTCCATGTCTTACCTGGCCTCCAGTACTTGGCAGCGCAGTATTCTGGGGACGTCCCCGTCCCCTAACACTGATATCTGGAGGTGAATCTCCCCTTGTACCTCCTCATCTGGGTCAATCTCAGTTAGGTTCACCCAGCCGTCCACCCCTTCAACACACAGGAAAGTTAGTGTGGGGACACGTGAGCAATATATACAGTACCAGTCAAATGTTTTGACACACCTACTCATTCAAGGGTTTTTCTTCATTTTTACTATTTTCTACATTGTAGAATAATAGTGAAGACATCAAAACTATGAAATAACACATATGGAAAAAGTGTTAAACAAATCAAAATATATTTTAGATTTTAGATTCTTCAAAGCAGCCACCCGTTGCCTTGATGACAGCTTTGCACACTCTTGGCATTCTCTCAACCAGCTTCACCTGGAATGCTTTTCGAACAGTCTTGTAGGAGTTCCCACATATGCTGAGCACTTGTTGGCTGCTTTTCCTTCACTCTGCGGTCCAATTCATCCCAAACCATCTCAAATTGGGTTGAGGTCGGGGGATTGCAGAGGCCAGGTCATCTGATGCAGCACTCCATCACTCTCCTTCTTGGTCAATTAGCCCTTACACAGCCTGGAGGTGTGTTTTGGGTCAATGTCCTGTGGAAAACAAATGATAGTCCCACTAAGCACTAACCAGATGGGATGGCGTATCACTGCAGAATGCTATGGTAGCCATGCTGGTTAAGTGTGCCTTGAATTCTAAATAACTCAGACAGTGTCACCAGCAAAGCACACCCACACCATAACACCTCCTCCTCCATGCTTCACAGTGGGAACCACATATGCGGAGATCATCCGTTCACCTACTCTGCGTCTCACAAAGACACCGCGGTTGGAACCAAAAATCTCAAATTTGGACTCATCAGACCAAAGGACAGATTTCCACCGGTCTAATGTCCATTGCTCGTGTTTCTTGGCCCAAGCAAGCCTCTTCTTATTATTGGTGTCCTTTAGTAGTGGTTTCTTTGCAGCAATTCACGCAGTCTCCTCTGAAAAGTTGATGTTGAAATGTGTCTGTTACTTGAACTCTATGAAGAATTTCTGAGGCTGGTAACTAATGAACTTATCCTCTGCAGCAGAGGTAACTCTGGGTCTTCCTTTCCTGTGGCGGTCCACATGAGAACCAGTTTCATCATAGCGCTTGATGGTTTTTGCGACTGTACTTGAAGAAACTTTGAAAGTTCTTGAAATGTTCCGTATTGACTGACCTTCATGTCTTAAAGTAATGATGGACTGTCGTTTCTCTTTGCTTATTTGAGCTGTTATAATAATATGGTCTTTGGTCTTTTACCAAATAGGGCTATCTTCTGTATACCACCCCTACCTTGTCACAACACAACTGATTGGCTCAAACGCATTAAGAAATTCCACAAATTAACTTAACAAGGCACACCTGTTAATTGAAAAGCATTCCAGGTGACTACCTCATGAAGCTGGTTGAGAGAATGCCAAGAGTGTGCAAAGCTGTCATCAAGGCAAAGGGTGGCTACTTTGAAGAATCTCAAATTAAAAATATATATTGATTTGATTAACACTTTTTTTTTTTTTACTACATGTGTTATTTCATAGTTTTGATGTCTTCACTATTATTCTACAATGTAGAAAATAGTAAAAATAAAGAAAAACCCTTGAATGAGTAGGTGTGTCCAAACTTTTGACTGGTACTGTATATATTTTTTAAAAATCTGATTTATTTTACACATTTATAAGCACAATACAACCACACGTGGATATACTGCATCATTCAAATCATCAATGATAACTTATTTCCATTGTGGTCCTCTAGCAAATGCACTTTACACGCTCATAAACGCACACTTTCCTGTTTGGATGGCCTGTGTATTGTTCCAATGAGATAAGGCAATTCATGAGGGGAATACAGTATGTCGTGCGCGCACACACAGACACGTCGTGAATAAATCCCACCAATAACATCCTTTCTCTTTGTCTCTGGCTTTTGGAGGCTTAATGTAAAAGACCTAATGCCTGTGATACATTCGCTTCTGCTCGAGTAGATCTTGAACCTGCTTTAAACCCACACTTAACAGCCTCCAAACTGGAAGGGATCTAATACATGCCCTGCATTTTGGACTCAAATATACTGTACTCTGAATTAATATCTGACATGGAAAACCTCTGGATAATACCAATGACTGTAAGGATAATAACAGATTTAGTCAACCATGCACAAGCAATAAATTGACGATTTATCGGGAAATAAACCACAGGTAATAAGTTCCTTGATGAAAGGAAAACATTTAAAATGTACAGTGTCCACATTAGGACAGCTTGTCTCACTAAATCTGTTATTATCCTTACAGTCATTGGTATTATCTAGAGGTTTTCCAGGTCTGATATTGATTTCAGAGTACAGTAGCTATTTCACATTTATTTCCTACATATGGCTTGACTCATGTATTTTGTCAGAATTCTGCTCATAATAAAGTCAATGCATAAAATACAGAAGCTGAATGATACAAACAGTGAATTGACCATTCATCCCTCCAGATAATTTCCAACTGCATTCAACCAGAAGACCTATTTCTTCCAGCTTCCCAATGATTTATGAAGTGTCCTATGAAGTCGGCAACATTTCCCAGAATCGTTCTGTGTTTACCCTTGTGGAACACTTGAAGTAAGTGTTTTTTCTCCTGATTGATATTCCAGGGTATGTCTCTAGTCAAGCAACATTATTCTTTATTGTCGGCTGAGTGTGGGACAAAAATAAACCACACCGACGTTTCCACAAAGCAGGACGGAAAAAAGCTTTGCAGCTTGTTTCTAAGGCACACACAGATCATTGGTTCAGCGCACTGTGCGTGGGTTACAAACAGTCTGATCATTGGTTCAGCGCACTGTGCGTGGGTTACAAACAGTCTGATCATTGGTTCAGCGGACTGTGCGTGGGTTACAAACAGTCTGATCATTGGTTCAGCGCACTGTGCGTGGGTTACAAACAGTCTGATCATTGGTTCAGTGGACTGTGCGTGGGTTACAAACAGTCTGATCATTGGTTCAGTGGACTGTGCGTGGGTTACAAACAGTCTGATCATTGGTTCAGCGCACTGTGCGTGGGTTACAAACAGTCTGATCATTGGTTCAGCGGACTGTGCGTGGGTTACAAACAGTCTGATCATTGGTTCAGCGCACTGTGCGTGGGTTACAAACAGTCTGATCATTGGTTCAGCGGACTGTGCGTGGGTTACAAACAGTTGGAACATTGGTCAATGGTCTGTGCTGATAGCTACTTGTGGCTACATATTGCACTACTTTTGTCAAAAGTAGTGCACTATATAGGGAATAGGGTACCATTTGGTACATATCCATAGAGGCCTTAAACTTCACGAGACTGACAGCAGTAGTTTTCATCGCCTCTATTTTGAGGGCTGTATTGATTAACAGTTACTTTTCAATCTCCATCTTAGAAAGTGGTGAAAAGCTGAGTCAAATTCCCGTTGCGCTGAAAATGTACAATGAACTATCTATCTATTCCAGAACAAACAAGAGACCGAGCTTCGTTACGATCATTGGTCAGAGGGAGTGAGAGGAGGAAGTTGTGTTGTGACAAAGGCATTTCTCTGAGCATTGTGGGATCTTGTCTGGCATTCAGCCAGGGAACAGAAACTGGAGGAAGGGAGACTCCTGTCTACAATGGCCACAACATTGATGAAGTCATTTCAGAAAAAGTGAACAGAAACGAGATTCGAGTTTCCATTTTGAGCACTGCATGAAAAGTAATGTCAGTAGTGTTAGAGTAGAAAAATACAACAGTAACACACTCTCTGAATAGTTCATATACTGTATGTGTCCCATATGGCACACTATTGCTATAGTGCACTACTTTCTACCAGAGCCATATGGGCCCTGGTCAAAAGTAGTGCACTATAAAGGGATTAGGATGCTATTTGGGGCAGAACCCATGTGAAGGCCATTCTAAGGAAACATCTCCGTCCTGTCTGTGGTAGATGATATCTCCACAAACATGTACAATGAGGGAAACTGAACTAAAAACTAAATCATATCAAATATGGATGAGTACAAGTTGACTTGACTTAAAACATTTTAAAATCAAATTTATTTTATAAAGCCCTTTTTACATCAGCAGTTGTCACAAAGTGCTTTACAGATACCCACCGTAAAACCCCAAAGAGCAAGCAATGCAGAGGCAGAAGCACAGTGGCTAGGAAAAATTCCCAAAAAGGCAGAAACCTAGGAAGAAACCCAAGACGTTCAAACGCTCCTTACTCTAAGGAGCATAGGTACACAAATGTTCTCCACAGCATTCTGTTTAGGATTAGTATACACTTGACCAAACCTCTTTTAATGAATCAGACCTTGACAGAGGCCAGTGGGCATCAGTGAAAGGTCTCATCCATGAAAGTGTTCAAACAGTGACTGGCAAATACACAGACACACTAGGGGTTTCTAACCTTTCAAGCCTTGACCTGCCTGCTTCAAAAGGTGATTCTTTGTGCTCACAGTCCTCCCTCTCCCACCCCAGTCCTCCCTCTCCCACCCCAGTCCTCCCTCTCCCACCCCAGTGTTCATCTCCTTTAATGTTTGGCCTACTGTTTAAACAGGGATGACCAATGAAGTCACAGTTCATCCCCTTTAATTTAAACCTTGGCCTCCCCTTTAAAACTGTTGTCTCTGACCAACCAGGCTAAGCCTTTGTTTCCAAAGCAACGCATTACAACGAGGAGACAAGAGGGTATGAATATGCTTGCCCGACTCTTGTTATGTATAAGGACTTCCCTTAATTAAAACAACGAGAACACAATAGACCCTGAAAAAGTGCTCCTTCTTGCCTTTGTGATTATGAGAAAGAGATGTTCTTGCACTGTTTGTAAATGATTACCAGTCCACAAAACTGTGAGATCCAATGACATATACAGGAGATGCAATATAAAGAAGCTAACGTTTATGTTGTCTTGTTGTAGTATACTGTACTGTGTGTTTGGTAATTTTTTAAAATCTTAACGTAGACTACACCAAACTGGTATATAATACAGAACAGCAGGCCTGTCTTAAGCATGCATGATGCCCTATGAATATTCTGTCTAAACAACATATATCATTCATATTACAGGAAGTAATAAAA